TCTTACAAAAAATTCGCCAAAGGCATTTTGTTGCATATGTAAATAAATAAACTTCCTCGTATTTATTACAATATCATAAACAATCAAAAAAAAGGTCCAAGGTGACAACATTTTGTTATCTTCCTCACTTTTGTTATTATTTTCATTTATCAATTATTAATTGCAATAAACAATAACAAAAAAAATGAAATGACTTACTGCCAATTTACTTATTATTTAAGTTGACCAATAAATATCCATACGTCACAAGTGAAATCAATTAAATTAAAGAAATCGGATATCCATATAATGCAATAACTACGACAGTTTCAACTGGTTTTATTTAATAAAAATAATTTTACCCAATTAAACTCAACTGAAAAGTAAAAGAGCAAAACCAGGATATGACAAATCGAACTGTAAATACCGAGCCTTTACGACCAGGAAAAATCGTTTAGTGGAAAACACATTCTTATTCTTTCCTATTCCTCTACATTGTATGTAATCAAAGAATATTTGCAAATGCCACAAATGGGAGTGACCGGTTATTAATTAAGAGTGGTCCATTTGAAGGTTCAAAAAAGAATAAAATTGAACCGGATTAAATGTAGTCTGCCAAAAAAAATCGGTTCAACAATTTAACCTTGGCGCAAAACAAGAAAAAGATGTATAATGTCCTTCTGATTTCCTATTTTTAACCGGTTAATTTTTTGTCACATGTGCAAAATTTACTGGAAATTAGAACACCCTGTAAGATCGAGACATTGCGAGTTACGAGGAATATTTTTCTCGGGTGCTGCGACTATGTGGGTGTAGCTTCGCTCAGTTTTGATAAATGATTTCATCAGAACTTTTTTATTTTTATTGGCTATATCGTTACGCAAAGAATTTTGCAACTCGTTACAGCGTACCGTATTCAAATAGGCACATACTACTATTTATTTAAACACCTAAACGTGCACGTTCCGGCTATTAATAAAAACATAATTAAACGGGTATTAATTCAAGTTGTAGTGAAATAACGGTTGATTTTTTTAATATGTAACGATTTCTAAACGAGTAGATGCTTGTTATATTCCATTCCACAGTGATTTTGTTTGCGTTAAACATTCTTAAAAAACGAATGATACAATTCTTCTCCTACGAATCGACCGAATAGGTTCGATGCAGGTTGCAGTGCGAATAAAATAAAGTCATTCTCTTAGCATTACCAGTGGGTTGGTCGCAAATATATGCTGCAATACATCTAACCCATTCAAGATTATTTTAAAAATCTCGCTTAGGGCTTGGCTCTGAAACAAAGCTAAATCAAAACAAATTCCATTCATGTATTACACTCCAAATTGTATCACGAAAGAACCTAATAAATGAAGTGTAGGAAAATTTCGTCTAGTCATATCCCCGTTTTTACCATATCCATTAGAATTCGTGAAAAAGAATAGGATTTGGAAAAGAATTATGAGAAATATTTAACGAAATTTCGAGGGTACATGTTAGAACAATCTGCTTAATAAACGAAAAATAATAGTGTTGTCACAATTCGATAGATTCTCATTATGTGAAATGTTCATTAAATTCAATGCATACTTTTTGTCGTTGGCGCAGATAGCCTATTAATTGTATTCGTATCAAATAAGGAAGGTTAAAAATTTGACATGCGTTTCTTTCGTTACGTAAATTGTAACAGTGTAAATTTGACTTTCTTTTCCGTTTTTCATGATTGAAATTCAAGAAGCGGACTATATGGATTGTTTGTTTCGCACGTGCTACTCAGTTACACTTAATCTAACAATTCCGTGTATAATCAATCGATTTAATGCTTTAAGAAACGAAGCTTATTAATCAGATTAAGGAAACCGTAACAAAAGTATTGCGGTTTTGAAAATTATTTTGCCTTGGACAATTTGTATATTTGAATTGAAAATTTTTAACTTGTAAAGAAAATTTTACTGCCATTTGGGAAAAATATTACACTACTAAAGTTTATATGGCACTGCATTTTAGAGCATAGACCTTTTTCAACAAAAAATTTCATGTGACTAATAAATATTTTTTATTGAAACCTGCGTGGTCGGTACATTTCCTTACTCAGAGACTGGATGTTGTAGGTACTCTAGTTAGACATTCGACTGTAAATATCGAAATTTTATTTGATACTTACTCGTCAATAAGATACGATAAAACGGTTAAACAACCTTCCGAAGCAAAACCTACGCAATCGATATAAAATAAAAGGGGTATTTCAATTAAAATTCCTCAAATCCAATGTTTAGCTATAGAGTTATATGTAAGTAATGGGAAGTTCTGCTGTAGGCTAAAAAAATGAAAATGGAGATGGAGTTGGCAGTACACCCGGTTCAGTTGCTCTAATAAATCATTTTGAGAAATACACTTTAATTATTCCTTTTTGCTTTATTACTTTGAGGTAGTATATTACTCCGTATAAAGACATCCTATTAGAGATTCTTGTACATTTTTAATTGTACACTGATGATAACTGCAAAAACCTATACAATTTTTAAGACGAGCCAAGCCTTTTTACGTTTTCTTAGCTCCAGGTATTGTTTTATAGTTTTCGTTTTTAGCTATAAAGTAGTTATAACCGATAGATAGTTCAATTCTCAGAATCGTTTTCATTAAACAAAGGTTTTTTAAGTAGGTACTGTAATACTTACAGAACATAGTAAAATTAAGGAGTAATTAGGTTATAGAAGTATTACCTTACCAATTAAGGATTTGTAATAATGGTAATTCAAAAAAGCAGCAACGTAATTGCACGAGTAATAATTGCTTAGGTTAAATTAACTAAAATTTCAAAATTAATTTAATTAACATATTAGGCTAGTTTCTAAAGCGTTCAAGCGGTTTTTGCAATTCAATAGATATTTATATCAAATTATAGATTATTTGAAGCCATTAATGGAATCGGTAAAGTCGATATAGGCTGTTGTGCGTAGGACTGATTTTAAATTAATTGTTTGATTAATTTTATGCTTATTCGTAATCCCGTGAAAGTTAAATATATGAGATGATCGATTTTAAAATCTCCAATTGACAAAATCTGCATTGTTTCCCCGCCTTTGGATGTATCATAGTGAAAGCAGCTACCCGAGACACTCTGTAGAGTGCAGAGACATGTGTTCTTGTTTTAGCTTCCGAATTGAAATTTCCTTTTCAGTAAAACGAAATTACTCGTACGCGTTTCAAGGTCACACCTGTATGTGTGCCGTTATCTAAAAATCAAAAGTGAACATAATTCAGATCATCATCGTCATGTGCCTAATATAATGTTTCCTCGAGCGACATAGCTTTCGGTCATATATTAAAACCTGGCCTCATTATATCACTCCACTCAATAAAAAATAAGAACTGTTCAAATCGATGTAGGTATATTGAAAGTTGTCTTTCACAAGGTTTTTTAGATAATGCATTAATTTCAATTAAACGCTGCACTAGATCGTTAAAAAGCTGTAAGATTAACGGGAGCTTTATTAGGAAATCGAAAATAAATCTATCGGTAGATAATTATCTAAAAAAAATCTTGGAATTATTGCCGTGTTAATTTCACTTTTTATTCGTTTCAAACGACCAATTTACCTAATGATTAATTTTGAAAAAATAAGGAACTTAAATATCCCAGCATCGCAAGTGTATGCGTGCTCAATACCAAAAATTATAATACACATACATCGTACAATATACCACAAACCGCAACATTTTTGAGAACTTACCGAAAGAAATAAACAGGAAATTAATGAGAATGTTGATCATTTTGGCGGATAATCGTGGATAAGTATCACTCGAGATGATCCAGACACTAATGTCACACGCAGGAGCTAAGAGCACTTCTCCATGTATGCAGCGGAAAACGAAATTCTCCTCAAATGTGACAGCAAGAGTGCGCGCCCGTTTTTGTCGCAGCAAGTGCTTTAACTGACTGGATCGCCGTAGAATTGAAAGTTTCTCTTAAGTCCGATTTGCCAGTGGGGATTAGAAGAGAAAACTGAAATCCCCTCTTTTGGTTTGGGTAATACTGATATTATACTGTTTTCCTTGGGTCTGCTAAACCAAAGCATTCACTTCGCGAAATTTTACTATAAGTCCTTGTTCTCCGCCCTCAATTTAGATAGACGAGATTATAGATTATACACTTCCTAAAATCATTTCGAATCGGGTACTTACAACACTGTAATTATATCAATTCTTACACGTTTCTATTATATGATTTATGGTTAATTAGTTTCCCACTTAAAGTTAAAAAACTCGATTAGATCAAATGGTAAATTTGTATGTCAAGAAAATCTATACAATTTGTACAAGTCGTGTACATTATTTTTCATACGTACACCACCCTGTAAGGGTAACATTTGTACATTGTTCCATTTATGATTTTATAGCAAAACTCTCGGATAATGGCCAATTTAGGATTTTTTCATTGTTACATATAACCTTGCCTGACGCCTAGAATGAATTGCGTTTTGTATCCGCATGCCTAGCTAGGATTGGTAGGATACATGAAGTTTATGAGAGAAAAACTGAATATGATGTGACATATGCATTTGAGCAGTTTCGAATGCACTCGGTAGAAAATCAGTTGCTGCAACCGGATGCGATTGTTTCTGTTACAATTGATAGCAACAAATCGACTCGGGGACTTTCACGTGCATATGAATATTATTATGAGTTATGTAAATTGGTAGCTTACGTATTTAATAAAACTGGATGAAGAACGTTTACTTTGATTCTGCGATTTTATTCGCAATTCGATTTTAATTTTAATTAAGCAAGTCGTAATAATGAAAACTTCCTTATATATTCTACCAAATTAAGTGATATAAGAGAAATATAAATATGCATTAAACTATCCATTAAAAACCGAAATTAAGTTTAATGCATATTCAATTTTCAGCAACATTCACTAAATTCTGAGTTTGTATAAATCAATTCGTTATTATTTTTTTTGAAAGGTTGGGTTAGGCCGTTGACATTTTGACAATTTTCAACAATATTTGTTTTCACTACTTTTATTTCCACTGACGCAACTAACATACAATTAAGTATTAGTATGTGTTAATAAAAAATCAAAATGAACTAAAATTTGAAAATTGTGCTAGCTTCGAAAATTCTATTCTTTACCCCGTCAAAGGAACGTGGACCAGTACACGACGTTTAGAATTAGAAACGAAAACGGGAAGAAGAACCTTGAGAATTGGTCAATGCACAAAGCGATGCTTTTTCCATCGCAAAAAGTGTCGTACTGAGGTTGGCTCGACGAACTGAAACGTGGCCTCTCCATTCCCTGTAAAAATAAAAACAAAATTCACGCACTAGTTGCAGTTTGTTAGTGATCTTGATATTATAAAACCGATGGAGCCGATTAGTTGCAAATGAAAACAACACAATTTATCGTGTAATATGAAGAAATTAAATACAAAACTCTTACGACACGTTAGCATCCTTTGTAAAAACACTGTTAATTCTAAGTCTGAGTAATACAAAGCATGCCTAATTAATTTGTTTCGAAATGTTAGTGTGCAGTTAACATTTTAACACCGATAACTCACTAACTCATCGAAGAATAATTGATTTTAATTTCAATTAGCTTCCCAAGTTATTCGTCTAATACTCAGTTGATAGTTTTTGTGGTATCTGTGAATGTAAACTCATTACTTTATAATCGTTAATTTCCGAAGTAATATCTTCATCGGAATATCCTTTCATTGCCTTCGTTGCAGTCGGGCCCATGTAATTATTAACCACAGCAAATTCCATCAGCGACATAAATACGAAGACTGAGCAGCTAGACATCCACACGTCAATCGCTTTAACGTAAGATACCGGAGGTAAAGATTGCTGCGATTGAGTGTTTTGTGTAGCTGAAAATGAGATTTTTTTAATTACTGAACTACGTAATGTATGCGCATAAAAATCGATTTCTATGGTTCGATATGATTACCTGCAAAGGATCGAATTAATTTTCATATAGTCTAATGCACGTGCATTAGCGTTTCGTTATGTTCGATATTCGTGTATTAATAATTTTATTAACTGCCCGAGCGTAACCCAAAGAAAGTTATTACCGTTTTGAGTGATCGTAATAATAACAGCTCTGTTTTTATTACTAAAATCGTTTGATTCAAAAAATAATGTCGAGATTTCATAACATTTGGACATAATTTTAGTAGGTAATAGATGTCTGTAAGGTTATTTGATAATTTCATTTCTTATTAATTAGACCATTGTTCGCAAGTTATTCGTTTGTTATCCAATATTTCTTCATCGCCTTTGAATAGGTCGAATTCTAATTAATTCAATTCCAATTAACCACAAATGATATATTTATTGTATCAATCAAAATTTATGCAAGTGCTTGCCTGTGCGTAATTGTGTTATTTGCACCATTTCCTTGTCCATTAAAAGTATCTGTAACAATTATTTGATAAGAAAGCTTGATACTGGATGTGAGGCTTTCACCACGACAAATAAATTGCGGAAAGTATGGTAAAGAACAAACTAAAGTATAATTCGAATAATTATAGTGTTAAGATAAATTATCTAAAAAATCTTCATCTACCTACTTATTGCATATTTTTATAGGTATATTCTCCACTCATTTGCCTCTATTCGATATTGCATATCTCATTAGAAACACTTACACAAGCAGCAGACAAAAAATTTACGTACCCGAGAAACCGCGAAGAATTTAAATGTCAAGGTTTTTTAGTTAACTTTGCTAAATTACGAAATTTTATATAATAAAAAAAAGCAAAAGTACACGCATTTTTCATTCGATTTATCGTGAAAAGGAAACTCAACATGATGAACTTCCGATAAGTATTGGACTTTCTCCTAAACAATACTTTTGTACTTGTACCACTTTTCCACTAAGATTCGCATCAACGTTACGATTCTAACAAAAGCCTAAAATTATTTAACCATAACTTCCTATTTTTCTTAATCCTGCAAGCACTTAATCTTCAATTCGGGATATTCATACTTGAATAAGCACACAGGTCGGGTCACTCTGAAAACCTAATTTCAACATTTGTGCAATTTTTCAGTGTAAATTAGTGGCAATTTTATCAAAAATTGTAAAAATGCGATTACCTAACGTCAGTAACGATGTCACACCGAGAGTAACTCGTGCTGGTATCGCTTCGGGTTTGATCCAAAACGAAATCCATGACATCACAACAATCAACGCTGAAGGTATGTAGGTGTGAAATAAATGATAGCCGAGTCTTCTTCTCAAATTAAAGACTACTGCCAAACACGTAAAGTTTCCTGTAATCAGTAACGAGTACGAAATTTTTACCCATTGCGAACAATTATGTGCTAATATGTTATTTTCTTATTGCACAAACCAGAAATGTTAATGTGGATTAATTGCTTCGTTGTTGAGCACTAATTAACTTAATAGCGGTTTATTGCAATAAAACGAGGAAAAAACTTTGTAATCATGATGTGAACGATATTAAAAAATAATTGATAGGAGTTAACTTTCAATTAGCAGTTATGTACCTTAATTTTTTTTACATCTGCTTTACAATCATTACCTGTTGAATATTCTATGGTACAATCAGTTGTGAAATTATTGGAAATATCCAATTGCGGCAACTCAATATCAGGATTCACTACCAAAGGATCCGTCATGTTCCAAATAAACACCAAATCATGATCAGTGTGCGATACTGCAAATATAATCTTCTAATTGCCATAACTAACATTGTAAAATTACTTACAGCTCTCGATCATCATCGAACAAATTTGGGTGTCATGTGGATAGGTTTCGAATTTCATTGCACAAGATAAAACTAAAGTCAACCTAAAAACATACGTTTATTCACCTAATTCACTACTTACCTGTTCCCTAACTCACTTGGACATGTACAATAATGTTTTATCATGATATAGCCATAAGTAATGATTAGGTATTGTCATTTCGTGGAAAGTGACGCTTTTCGCATTTTTAAAGAAGCAATCAGGTCTCCAAATGTTATGCAACCATTCCACGTCCAATATCCTGTATTCTTCGCTCATGTTTTCAGGAAGACGCAGTCTTGGATCCCTCCAACTTTGAGCCAGGAATATGTCTGTAACATATGTCTACGAGAAATAATTAATTTTAAGTAATTATTCATAGTGGGACCGTTGGATATGAGTTTACCATAGATTCTTCGTTTATAGAATCGATAGACAAAACAGTGACATGGAAGTAAACTATAGTAGGTTGGCCGCCTTGAGACCTCGGTGCTCGATTTTTATCGTAGTGTTTCGGTTTTAAAGGTAAAATGTCCCTAAGCGACAAGCTGGTTTCCTCAATGTAGTCACGAATTCGATGCCTCGTATGGTTTGAACCACTACAATGTAAAACAACGCTTCTTAAGAAAGAACCTTTGGAGCAAATTGAATAGAAGTTGAATTATAACAATGATTGATTCAAAAGATATCTTTTGTTTGTATCAATGCATGTTAGGTATAGAAGAGACCTTGACTATAAAAAAAATCAGATAACTAAGAACAAAGTATTGACCAATATCCTCTTGGCTAGATAAGGATATTTCAGAAAATAATTAAATAAGATTTTTCATGTCAACTTTGTAAACAAATTCATAATTTCATATAAATATCGATGATGATGGAATCTTAACAATATGTGTGTATACAAAAAATTTCTTATGTAATTATTTTTTACTTATTTTATTAATAACAATGAATCTTCGTCGTAAATTTATAAATGGAATTTTCAACGATTTCCTATTAAATAATGATTTGTTTTTATTGTGGCAGGAAACTTAAAGTTATAATAAATTAGGCCAAGTTCAATTAACTTATTTTGAATAAAAAAAAGGTGAATGATAAATATAGCTTTAAAACGTAAGCGATTTAAGATTTTATTAATTGAGAAAATTTAATCAAAGCAATATAGCTATCTATTCTAGCATACTTACAACTTATGGGATCCTAAAACGTTTAATAATGTATCGCACGTTAAAAGCAGTATAATTAAGGAATACATTTTACACACAACACAGTAAAACTAGGAAGAATTAACTATTGCAACTTGTATATCCTTAATCAAATTATAGTATTAAGGTATTATCGGTTACATTGACACAATTGGTAGATTTTATATTGCATTATAATTTTACACACTGAATATTCCGACTATTGCATGTTTCGTTTCATGCAAAATATGGAAATTTTCATTTTAAAATGAAATAAAATGTTTCTCATTTTGAATCAATTTATTTAAACTAGGCTAATCCATATCGATTTCGATAAATATTTTTTCAATAATCGATTTCATGTGTATCATAATTCTTCGTTTCCTTCGATGATATTTTTTTATCGTTTTCTTCTTCATTTTTCAGAACATCTTCGAATATCTTGTCTATTATATTATCGATTTGTTCGGAATTTTTATCATCATTATAATATTCTTCCGTTTTTGCGCTAGAGTTTTCGAGTTTTTCTTCAAATGATCTCTTTAAATGCTCATATCGCTCTTTCAATTTCCACTTTGATTGAGGCAGCTGCCTCTCGTGCATCCTAGGGTTGCTTTCAATGGAATCATCGCTACCCCTTCGTTTATTTCTCCTGCAAATTTTGTAGCAGCCTCCAAACCATTCGACAACCAGCGCTCCTCCTCCAAAGACAAACCCTATAGCAAGAAGCAGGAACATACCTTGCGTGTCTTCGAGACTTAACGCTCTGTCTTCGTAAGCGAGAGTTTTTAAACTCACTCCGGTGGTTGCCTATAATATTTTAATTATTAAAGTAAATGGGGTAATTGATTAGATAATTACGGCTAGTAATTTGCCAGTTGCACTTCTCATCATTTCCCATTCAACGTCCGTTCTGAATTTCATCATGATACCAGCCTCTTTAATTCTTTCTATACCTCTGTTTAGTATCTCGGCGTATACAGAATTCGAAGGATAGGCCAATGCAACGCTGAATGGAACAAAACATTCCTTGCTAATGTGTAGTACAGATCGTTTTCCTCTGAAAAAGTTCGTTGTATATCCTCGTGTTTTATTCTAGTTGTTTAAATACCTAGTAGTCATATTTGTTCTAACTATATAGTCCAATTGTGCTTTGGAACCCAGGAAGGCGTATCTCCAGAAAGACATTTTTGTTGTATTTTTTAAACCTTCTTCTACTGTTGGTACTAAATCCACATTTTTTAATAGTTTTTTTGTTATATCATCTGAAGAATTTTGAAACAAGTACTGCCATTCGCCTTTATCTGAAAGTAAACTTATTTTTGCAGAATGGTGAAGTAGGCAATTATGTTTTTAACCTTACCTAATGTTCCGATTTGGTACCATCCGCTCAATAGCTGCTCAGCAGAATCTACGACAGAGGGAAACACTGGCAACGTGACAAAAGCGATAATCGATCCAGTGTAGCAGGCGGTTATAATTATAGTAAAAATCCAATAAAAACCTTAAGTAGGACAAATTCAGTTCATTAGAAATAATTCTGTACAAATATTCGTTTATTAAATTTTACCTATCAATAATTTTGTGGTGACTTTATTAGCTCTGCTCCATGATCCTTTTCCGGAAAACGTAAAACAATTCGTAAAAGTGCCGAAAACGTACCAAAACATGTTCTCAATTTCCGCTGGATTTGTTATTAAATGTCTCAATGTGTGTTTATCGGAAAAGGCCAAGGGGAAGATACCACCTAAGTAAACGAGAATCAAAGCTAACCAAACTGACCAATGCAGAGGTCCCAGTATAGCACGGTATCTAGAAATTATTTTTTTTATTATTTTATTCTAGACATCAAAGTTATAAACCTGGGTAAAGCCGTGGAAGCCAGTGAAATAAACGCAGCGCAGTCCCTGGAGTGCCAAGTCGTTAAGCCCACTCTCTCTAGTTTGTCGGGTGTTACGTATATACCTCCAATGCCGATATTGGCTTTTTTCTTTTCAATAGTTCTTGTTACCGCCTCTGAAGATCTAGAAATTTATTTAAATCGACCGTACACATGGATATATAAGTACCAGAAACGACATCTATCAGTGAATGACTCATTCTTAAAATATATCTTACCGGACACAGGACTTACCCAACATTATTATCCTCTGTTGCTTCTCTGTAATCCGTAGTAAAATTATACAACTTAGACAACAAATTGACCAATCTTATTTCGACTCCTTCGAATATTTTTTCACCATCAATAGTTCTTCCTCTGTAATTAACATATTTTTAAATATTTCAATCAAGATATATTTATTTTTTGACCAACTTCGATATAATATATGGAGGTTGATGAGACATTGATACAATAAATCTATGACCGGAAAATCCACCGCTAAGTTTCTTAGGGAACAAGTTCACTTTCCTTGTTAAATTACCGTCTTGGAAACTCGATAACACAATTGGTTTGCTGGATCCTAAAGCGTCTACGTACAATTTGTGCGTGTAAAGAATATAAGGAGCTTCCTATAAATATAAAATCCACTCAATAGTAAGAACGAAATTGTACAATAGTAGATTACCTGATGTGCTTCCATAATTCTTTCAGACTGTACAATAACTAGCAAGTTAACGAAAAACCTGGATTCTTCGTGTGAAAGAAATTCAAATACCCTCCATTGCGAAGATCTGGCAACCACAATGACTTTATTGTTGCTTTGCACTCCAATTACGTCTTTAGACTTCATAACATCTTTCATGAACAGTAAATAGGTGATGCAGGTGGGTTGCATATCTCGTACAGAAATTTTCAATGTTGTGTTGTAATCTTCAGTGATTTGTCCGTGAATGTATGCCGTAGGGAAATTTGTTAATAATTTTTCTAGGAGTAAATTATCGTTTTTTTCAGTGAACGAGTCGAACAGAATAATCGGAGTACAATCCAATAAATATGATCTTGTGATTTTCTTCAATAGCATCACTAAATCTACTTGTTGGTCGGCTTGGCTTTTCTGTATAAACGCATCGGCCCATTTTTCTTGTTGCGATTTTTCATGCGATGGCTGTAAGGCTCTTTTATCCAAAATCTCTTTGGAGAAAGTTGATGGCAGGATTAAAAGGGCCAATAAGTAAAAATAATAGAGCAGCATTATTACACACTGATGTCGAAGGTAGGAATATCGAATCTGATTCGCTTATATCCAACTTTGATTGATTTTAATAAGTCATTGGTAATCAGGTATTCATAGTGTTATTTCATGTTATTTCATTTTTTACTCTACGACGGAACACGTGCAAATATAATTGAAAAAATACGAAGTTAGATGTAGTTCAAGAATATTAAAGGGTATTATCGTCGAATATTATCGTCTACAGACGATGACATTTGTTTATTTAATATCATGATTGTGAGAAAGAAAATTAAATTAAAAGTCAAAAAATTGGTTTTAATTAATGTTGCGATTTAATTAAAAATAAGTTAAAATACAATAATAATATTAAAAAAATGTATTACATAATTCAAGATATGTCAGTAACATCTGAAATAAAAGATGTATCTATATTGATCAGGTATTATAAGTATTTTGAAAGTTACCTTTTGTGACAGCTCGGAAAGTAGCTATCCACCCTGAACCTCCATTATGCATCGATGATTTATATATAATGTTAATGTATGAATCAGATCTATAAATCGCTCCAGTTCGGTACTAAAAAGTGTACATAATATTAAAAATATAAATCATAAAATATTAAACCTAAAGCTTACATTATTGCATAGTTCTACAGTGTTTTCGACGTTATCAGTTACTGTCTGTATTTTCAGGTTTGTTTGATCGCACGTTCCTTGTATATCAAATACTGCAAAATATCATTGAATAATATCTATCTTCTACGGTCAGTACAAGTATGCTTACTAGTAAATTTGAGAGCAACATGCAGGCTGACTGGTACTCTAATTCTCCAAACACAGGTAGAATCATTTCTGAATGGGCTTGGATAAAACGGACTGTAAATTTTTCCCTTATTATTGAAAATATCACCTCCACACCCACGGCCGTTTTGGGAACTGGTGTAAAGTATGTCGTAACGCACAATATAACGTTTGTTAACTGCTTTGAAATAAAGTTTGTTAGATAACGAAAACAATGGATCAGGTAACCGATATCCACAAATTTTTGCAAGTTCAGTTCCGTTTGGAGAGCCATCTCTGACCTAAAAATCATAGAGAATCATGGAAACTAACTAGTAAACAGTGTGTATAAAAAACATTCTCAAACCTCTAAATAACTTTGAGAGCAGTTTTGTGTGAAGTACATATAAAACGATGTGAAGTAGATACTAATTGTTCTATTGTCGGGTACAATGATCCAAAACGTGCACTCCGAAGAGTTGTCGTTGCCATTGTTAATCCTTCCGTTGGTTTCGGTATAATTTCTATTACAACCTAAAACAAAAACTAGAAGAACTGTTTTAAATATTATTTGCATGTAGTATACCTGCTATAGAATATTGCAGATTGAATCCTTGCCCTTTTGGAAGAGTGCTTCGAGAAACTAGAGAAATTGTTATATTGCCGGTAGAGTAATAATCAAATGGTTTGTCACGTTGCCCGCAGAATATATGTCGTCCTTTTGGATCAGTATACAACTACAAATCAATGAATTACAAATCTAAATTATTATCTCTTCAAATTATTCATTTCTCACCAAAGATGTGTGCTTAGTTTGTCCACTGTAAACAACATGCGACCCCAATCCATTAACTGTATTTGCGTTGGGGTTTTCGAAAATTTGAAGATAGTCACCTGGACATCGATTTTCGTTATCAGCTGTAGTGGATACTTCGTCTGTTAAATTAAACGCTTCAAAATGAAGGGCTATTTTATCATATCTTCCACCACCGGTTATGACATAACTACATTTTAGGAGACTCGGATAACTTAGAGGGAAATTAGGTGAATGCAACCATTTCTTCTCTTTTGTAGCGATCAATACCGACTCTCCACAAGCGGCTGAATATGAAATACAATTGGAAATTCATCTAGATAATTTCAATGAAGCGGTACTTACAAGCCTTAGGAACTAACGTGAACGTTATATCGTTATTTTCCCCTGTATTAAACACTCTAACGTAAGCTGTATTTCCGGAGGTACGACTTCGAAATACTCCTTTTGTTGTAGTACAGTACTTATCTATTTTCTCGGATAAAGAACTGGCGCCATCTCGCACCTGTAAATTTGCTTGTAAAACAAACGCAGCTTAACACGTGATTACGTACTTCCAAGAACATGCAATCGCAGGTCGAATTTCCCTCACAAGTTGTTTTCATGTTGAAATTGTTAACTGTTACTTCTATTTGAAAATCTCTCGCTGCTACAATTGTCCATCCGCAATCACTATTAGCTATTTTCGGGGAGTCAATAGCTTTGGTTGTCGTTAAATTAACGAAGCCTCCACAACCTTCTGCAGGACCTATAAAAGAACATTATTTGCTAATGAAAATAGTTTAAGTTAATTTATAATTTACCGTGTGAAAATCGAACTAAAGCTTTAAATCCTCCAACCCTATTAGGCATGCTGTCAAAAACTACTGCCATTTTTCCGGTTTCGGAACGAATTTCGGTCAGTTCTTGTATACTGCCACATAATATTGCCAATCGGTTACTTTTTTTTAGATCTAAACTATTATAAACCTCTAAATTATCACTATAACACATTGGGCCTATTAAGTAGAGATCCAAATTAATAATCCTATAAACATATTTAAAATAAGTTGATTTCATTTACATCAAACAACGCACTTACGTAAGTATAACTACTTGTTTTTCAGGTGCTGTGATATTCCAAATGCAATGTAGTTTTGGTTGATAGTATCGTAAGCCAGAAATTCCAAGTCCTGAAGGAAATACATCCACTTGCTTTTCTATGATGGTTTCTTTAGTTATTTCACCACCGCAACCTTAAAGGCAATAGATGTGTTCACAAATTTTTAAATATTTTCTACTATACATACTATCATCTCTATATTCGAATTTGAATCCTCTCTTTATCAACCACATGTCAGTTTTAAATTTAATAGTAACTACTCCTTTTAATCGTAACGGAGGCGGCATTTTGTCATCACAGTATATTGAAGAATACTGTGATGTTCTGGTCGTTCCAGTGTTTCCTTGGATTGTAAGATTATCAAATTTGCATTCTGGTGTACCTAAACCCAATAATCAATGAATATAGAAAGTGTTTTCGTCAAAATTTCTGTTAATATTACCTTGTTCAAGTTGGAAATCGATAAATTTGATATTTATTGCTTCGGTAGAAGGCGAGGAGGTACTCAAGGTGTATTCACAATTAAGTCTGTTTGGATACCCTGAAGGGTAACCAGGACTTATGATATAGCGAGTTTGTTTACTTGCGATGAATTTTCCACCACATAGCCAATTCCATTTGGCCTAAACATTGAAAACACATTAATCCCACATCAAAACATATTTAAAATATGTACCTTAAAACCTCTACCGCCGATTTTGTCGTTGCTCCTGAATAAAATCTTCATTTTTTCTCCACTTGATTCGATAGCAGCGGGGATTTCCCTTCCACATTTCTTTCCAAACGATACCCATTCGTCATTCATCCAATGCCAAATCTATAACGTTATAGATAATAAGTACACGAATTTATTTGAAATAACGCTCACCTGAATGAAATCATTTTCGCAATTGTTGCTTTGCTCTAAATGGAATCTTTCGACGAAAACCAATTGGATGTGATAACCTGGCTCTGATTCGATAATCCACAAGCATTCCGCGTTATTTGGATATTCTCCCGATCCGAAATTTGGAGATTGGATATTTCTAGACTTATCGTGGAATATTCCACCGCAACCTATATTATTACATAGATTAAATAGACCAGGCTGTTGTTTAACGATTATATAATTACCTGTACTGATAGCTTCATATTGTAACTGAAATCCTTCTGCGGAAGATGAAGCATCATGCATATATTCAATCCACAAATTCCTTCCTTGGGAAATAATCATTTCTGGTTTATTTTGATTGCAATACTTTCCAATTCTGGGATGAGTTGGCAAATCTCCGTTATGAATAGCAACGAAGCTCTTTTCGCAATCATTGCCGAGATTTGCGGTGAACTTGGTAATGTTTATAACTTGTCCTTCGTCTGCTGTGAGTACCCAAGCGCATTCGTAACTTTTAGTAGGTTTATGAGGATAGTTTGGACTCGAGATTGTGCCAGATTGTTGCGATACCATACCTCCGCAATCATGAGTAACGTATGTAGCAGTAAAGTTAGTTGTGTAGTATCTGCTGGACGTTGCCTTAAAAATTATTTACTTGAAATAGACATATACAGGTACACAAAAAGTACCATTTACGTACCAATAAATCGGTTTCAGGGAACGGAGATCTGTAAGTAACCGGCTTGGATGTTTTTGAACACAGTTGCCCTATCTTTTTAGTGGATTTTTTCGTGCTTATTTCAACGTATATCGGTGAATAGGCGCAAATGTGATGGCCAGTCAAGTTTGTATTCATAGTAATTGTAATAGCAAGAGTTGAGTGCAGATTTGGCAGAGAATGTGACCAATCGCAAGAATACCCATAATTTCTAGATAGTGGTGTCGAAATAACACCGTTGTCTTTGTTGAAATCTCCTTCACAGACTGGAAATATAATTAATGAAAAATATTGTACAACATTGGGTTAATTAAAGATTACTTGAGGGTAAATTAGAAGTATAAGTAGCTTTAAATCCTCTATGTGGTGAGCCTGAGGCAGACCAAAATATGATAGTCATCTTATTAGAGCTAGATTCAACGGTGTTATTGCCACTCGGTTGGGTTATGATAGTATTGTCCGAACGATGTACATCCATTATATCAAAAACTCTTATAGCTGTTTCGTAACGCAAAACATTTGACCCCAGATCTATATCATTGAATTTTAACGTCACTCTTCTTCCTTTTTCAACTTCAATTTTCCAAACGCAGTATCTATTTAAATAGTTCATTAATGGATAACCTGGCGATGTTATAACTCCTGAATCTCCTTGGAGAGTTCCACCGCACTCTAATGAGTATTAAAATATTTAGAAATCAATTCAATTTTTTACTACATATTACTTACTAGTTTGGCTAGCTTTGAATTGCAAAAAAAACTTTGACTGACTTGAAGACACAAAGGTGACGATTACTTCGTTGTTTTCACTTGTAATAGGCTGGGGAATCGATTTTCCACAGTATTTGCCAATCGTGTCTAGAGAAAAATCATTTTTAATTATGTTACCTGTTATTTAAAAGCAAAAAGTTTTACCATTTGGAGCTCCTTGACCTTCAATGACTTTTTTCCCATTTTTAAGCAAAACGTAGTCATTAACGCAGGTTGGCGTGTCTAATTTAGTGAAATTTATTTGCAAATAATGATCAATTGTTCCAATAATTCGCCAAGTGCAATTGATATGATCGGTGCCCGTATTCGCATAAGATAGTTCTCCTGCATTACCTCGAATAGTACCACCGCAACGATCTATTGATATTTTAGCTTTAAATCCAGTTTTGGGGTCATCTGTATCGGTGAAGAATTTAACATACAACATGTGATCAGTCGAAAATTGTGAATTGGGAGCAGATTTGCAGTATCTATTTATTAGTCTGGAATACTCAGTTCCTCCATCTCGTAACTCAACGTATTCTACATCACAACTAAAAATTAAAAATGATTTTTTATAGAAACAGAGGGAATTTTGATCAATCGTACTCGGGTCTGTAAGTTAAATGAAATCTTCCCTCGAAGTCAATTCTTAATACTTCTCCAGACGGTGCTGTAATTAACCACTCGCATTCTGTGTGAGGTGTCGGAACGTTGGGATAATTAGGCGAAGATATTTCTGTAAAATTATTATATTTGCTTAATTCTATGCGACCTCCGCAGTCTGCTGTGACTTCTTGATATTTCAATTTGAAACCCTGTAAATATTTTTTGAGTAATTCCCGCTTTTATCATTTAGGGAATGTAATTACATCGTTACTTAATGAACCTTTATATTTGATATATAAATTATTTCCAGTCGATCTCAATTTTTCCGGTAGAGTTGAGCCGCAATATTTACCAATACCCAATAATGGAGAATCCGCGAATTTGCCATTTCTTATCTAAAAATTTACTGTTGAATCGACAAATCTTCAAATATTTTTAGTGTTTTACCATTAAGTAGTTATTACATCCTTTATTCGGATCGTATTTTATGTCCATTTGTTCGAATGTTAATTCTATCGTTCGAGTGGATTTAACAGTTATATTCCATTGGCACTAAAAGCAAAATAATTTCAATTTTGAATCGTTCCAATTTATTAAATACTTGCTTGTAGTCCCCTTGCAGACTGGTTATCAAACGAAATAATACCAGTTGGCTCGGTTAGCCATCCTCCGCAAACTGTTCAATGAAATAAATTGAATTACAAGTATTAGTAACGTAATTATATTTACCTTCTGTAACTTTTGCTTTAAAACCAGTCCCGTTTAAATATCGCGTCGAAATGAACTCAACTTTTGTTAAACCTGTCGCAAAAATAAGATTATTCGGCCGTTGAATATCACTCTCTTTACAGAGAGTACGGATTTTCCTCCAATCGGTATCAAGTACATTTTTCTCATAAATATTTATCCTGTCGTTAACTTCGCAACTGGAATACAGTCCGGTGTACCTATTCTTCATTACAGCAAAATCTAATTTGTAGAAATATATCAACAAGTGATTATTGGGAACGGTGGAAAAGATCCATTCGCATTTTAAATTATGTTCGTAACCTCCAGGAAAACCGGGAGAGGTGAACGTGAAATTGTGCAGAATATGGATATCTTTCGCTCCTTTGGTAGTATTGCCGCAATTTGTATCTATAAAAATTGTAATTAGTCTATTTTTTTTTAATTTGTTATGGACCTTACTTATTGTTTGCACACTTAAGCCAGTTGGACTTGGCGCGTCAACTTGTTCCCAATGAATTCTGAATTTGGTTCCAAGTCGAGAACTGGTATATTCTACTTGGATGAATATAATGTTTGATGAAGATTTGATTGGCTCTGGTGCTACTAAACCACAATACTTTCCAAACGGTACAGCTGTAGAATCCACACCATCGAAAATCTCCATTAACACAAAGTAACAATCGTCTTCATCTTCATAAAGTGAGTCTTTAGCATCTAAATAGAATTCTTTAAATGTTAGTAGTATCCGTTTTTTGGGCGCAACAGTTATCCTCCAAGTAAACCTTTTATTGTCTGAAACCGTATTAGGGTATAAAGGAGACCAAATTTCACCTTGGGTTCCATTTAACTCGTTATCGGTGTCTAAAATTTGCGTAGTTAATAAAATATATATAGTAATTAAAATTCCTCGTACTTAGATAATATTCTATATAGAAACCTTTCGCTGTCACTTCAGTGTCGCCCTTTTCCGGTTTACTTCCCTTAAACAGCAACCACAAACTACCAACGTGCGTTATATTCTCAGGCCCTTTATTACCGCAGAAGACTCCCTGTAATTTACCTGAAGAATTGTGTGATCTTATCTCCAAATAATCCGTGTTACAATTTGGCGAATCTAACAATTCGAATGTAATGAAAGTCAAGGTAAGATGATTTCCTGAAATATTCCAATAAAAATTAGATCGATTAAATACGATATAACTGATCATACCGGGAGCTACCGTAATGGTCCATTCGCACTCTATATCTGAAGCGTATTTCCGGGGATAACCAGGAGTAGAGAAAAATCCTGCTAAAGATTTTAATGTTCCACCGCATTCTGAAATGAAAATTTGATGACCAAGGGTGCTAGGTGTTAGGTAAATTTCAAACACATACGAGAATCCAGCGTTGTATAAGTAGCTGTGAACGACGCGATTGAAGTGATATTAATAGTTAATGCGGAGCCATCACTAACAATAGTAGGGGGTACCCTTGGACCGCAAAATTGGGAAATCATTGGTGAATCGGATGCTTCTCCATTATATATTTTAATTGCCCCGTCGCTATCGTCACAATAATATAAGGTTGATATTTCCGATATTGTTAAGGACACGTGCTTGGCTGAAATATGTTGTATTTGTTAGTTAAAAAGGAAACAAACGATTCGAATGTAATTACAATAATCAACGGATTTGATGATCCAGGAGCAGGTGGTCATTGAGTCGGTGAAATCGTCTTGTTTTACTTCGAGTATGCCGCTGCTTTGAGAGTAAATTTTCGATCCGCATGACTAAAATATGTTTTTGTAGGTAATTGTTTTGTGGTGTCTTAGGGTAGGTACTCACTTTTTGATACTTGAGCTTAAATCCTTTAGCTGCGAAATAAGAATGCGCTCTAAATTCGACAAATACGAGGTTATATGAGGATCTGAATGTTCCGTTAGGAGTTATAGACCCACAAGCAGTTTTTATAACTGGAAATGCAGCTGAAGGTCCATCGAAAATCTGCAAAAATATGGTTAGGTCTGTATAATCAATAGTTATACACTGATTAACTTGCCTTGACGTAGTTTTGGGAACAATTGCCTGATTCAAAAAGATCGACATCTTCGAAGATTAATTCTATCGAATGTCCATCGTCAATTTCTATTTGCCATTCGCAAGTTTCGTTCTTATTGAAGTTTTTAGGGTAATTGGGTGAATAAATAAATCCTTCTGCAGCAGTCATCCTGCCACCACAAGCTAAAATATAACTAATAATACAAACACGGAATATTTTATAAATTTCTACTTACTTGTAGGTACTGTAGAATAATTAGCTATGAAGCCTTTGCCTTGATAACTTTGATCAGACTCAAATAAAATAAACATGTAATTTCCAGTGCTAGTTATAACTGTTTTCTGTTTTTGTTTACAGAGCTTTGCTATCAGGTTATACGACCTATCCATGCCGTTATAAACCTTTAGAATAGAAGAATATTAATATAAATGGCAATATTTAAGAATATAATTACTTACAGATACAGCATCAAAGCTGCAAGAGGTGTCTTTTTCAACGTCCACTTCTTGAAATTCAATCTGAATACTTTGACCGAAATCTACTTCTATCATCCATTCGCATTCCGTAGATTCTTCATAGGGATTTGGATAATTTGGTGATGAAATTATTCCAGATTTCCTCTTGAGTATCCCGCCACAACCTAAAAAAAACCTTTAGAAGATTTTTATTAATTTGGTTAGTAAATAAGTTTACCAAATATTTCCCATTCAAATCTGAAGCCTGCTCCTATCCATAGTTTATCGCTTACAAACTTTATTTGCGCGTGATCCGAATCCAAAGTGAAGTGACCAGGACTATTTTTGCCACAATATCTGCCGTATTTATTGTATGTTATTTTTTCTTCATAATCATTTTCAAGTACTCCATAGTATATCTATAACAATTTCAATAGATTTATTTTTGCGTTTCTCGCAGTTTTATGATCAAATGAGTATACAAACCTCCACATAATCAAAAGCGCAAGTATTGTTTCTTATCGGTGACGATCTTTCTATATCGAAATGTGAGAATGTGATGTTAATTTTATTTTTATTCGCTACAACGATTTCCCATAAACAGTCTTGATCTTCCGGATAATCGTTAGGGAAATTAGGGCTTTCGATAACACCTCCGAATCCTTTAACCGTGTTATGACATACTAAAAAAATGTTAAATTAGTAAAACATTTAATGAAACATGAAACATGCTTAAGTTTACCAGTAATATAGTGAAATTGGAACCCTCTTCCTTGAAAAGCAACATCAGATCTAAATTTGACCATTAATTCATTCGATGATGTTTTTATAGGGTTTGGTGTTTCCCAGCAAAATTTACCCAGCGACTTTGAATTAAGCATAGGTCCATCGAGTAACTGTAAAATACAGTAGAAAAATCACCTATATTTCTGAATAACGGTTCTTTAAAATTCACCTCTACGTAATCCGCTAAACATTTTTGATGATTTTCCAGATTAATATCGGAGAAAACAACTTGTATTCGAGACCCTGCACTAGTGATTACTTTCCATAAGCACTCAGTGCTTCTACTGTAGGGCTCTGGATAATGCGGCGAAATTACAGAACCTGTGGGCGATGTCATAAGTCCACCACATCCTAAAATTAAATTATTTTCAAAAAAGCATAGTTTATTAGAATCAAATGGTTTGTGACTCACCAGTTGCCGCTGACGACCATGTAATTCTAAAACCTGTGCCACTTCTACTTAAATCAGATTTGAAAAGCAGGTAAATTTTGTTCGTATGAGAAGTGATTATTTTTGGAATTGTTTTGCCACAATATTTTCCTATTAAAGGAGAAGATGAAGTACCTCCGTTTCTACGAAACTTTGTATAAATATATGAATTAAACTAAAATCATATTTTTGCTAACCGTATTTCTAGCCAATCATATCTGCATCCTGCATAGAATTCGATATCAAAGTTAGTCACATTTAAAGTTATTTGTTGCCCAGGTGGCACGTTTATTGTCCACGTGCATTCTCTGTTATTTGGATAAGGCTCCGGATATCTAGGCGATTTGATGACACCGGATGGAGTGTAGTAATTTCCTTCGCAAACTAAACAAGGCAATTACTTAATTGTCATATGGGATTAAAATGAGATGTATTTATACCGTCTTTCTCCTGCAATGTTACAAAAGTTGCTAGAAATCCATCCATATTAACCGTGATATCAGTTTTAAACGTGATTGTCATAATGTTTGAAGAACTAAGTAATGTTGGAGGTAAAGTGAATCCACAAAATTTTCCCATAAGGACTCCTGTACCTAAATCCGTGTTGTTGTCAAATACTTGAACGTTATCATAGGCACAAGTGTTGCTTTCTTCAATGTAAAATGTCAGCCAAGTTAATTTGATTACTTCTTGCGGTGACGCTATTATCGTCCACTTACAGTTCAAATTCGATAGGTATGAACCATCGGAATGGGTGGGCGATTTAATATTTCCCATTTTATCTCTTAAGATTCCGCCACATCCTAAAATAGTATACATTTAAATAAAATTAATTTACTGATGAATAATAAGAAGTTACCAGCATCCATAGAGGTATATTCAAATTCAACCAAGTTAGTACCACGACTACCAATTAAGAATCTTGCATAAAACACGTGTATCCATAAGAAATTGTGAGTGGAAGTGATTTCGGCAGTTTCTCTGCCACAGTATCTATTAATTAAAGTAGCGTTTTCGTGATCTCCATCTCTAACCTGTAATTTAATAGAAAATTAAGTATTCTTATGCTCAATAGAAATTAAATATATGTACCTCAACAAAACGAGAATGACAGTTATTCATTCCCAAAGATCTTATGTAAAATCGTCTAGCGGCCGTAGGCATATTTACTTTCATCACTAGCATAATTATGTTTCCTGGAGGTCTTTCAATTCTGTATATACAATCTTCATTTGCTATCGCTGATGCCGATATATTAAATGAACCAGTTTCATTTGTAAAAGTCTTTGAGCAAACTAAAATTCGCATTCTATTTATTGTCCTAATTTGTTAAAAGAGGTACTTCTACTTACCGCTTACGTATTCAATTGCCCAACCCTTTTGCTCTCCGCCCTCAAAAGATGACATTATCGTTAAGTCGTTGTGTTGTGAAGTATATGAGCTTGGAATATTAGCTCCACAGTATCGACCGGATGATGTACCATCACCATCGAATATCTGAAATTTTTTTAAATTTAATAAATAGTTAATATTAATATGAATTAAGATCCGTCCAACCTCTATATAATTGGCAGAGCATCCTAACGTGAGACCGGCCAAATCAAATTTCTGGAAATTCAATTTAATTCTTCTACCAGGTTGTAAATGGATTTTATATTCACATATCGATAAACCGCCAATAATACCATTTGATTCACCGTGTGGCGAATGTATTTTCCCTCGGGGCTTTGTAAATGTTCCTCCACAACCAGGTACTCCTAAAAAGACGATATTAGTCCTAAAATTTGTGGAAATAGTGATGCGCGAATTACCTTCAACTTCGGTATAGACTAATTGGAATCCTGGATAAGTATCTTTATTATCAGAATGAAAATGTATTGACAATCTGGATCCAGGTGAATAGAATGGTGCAGGAGAAGAGCTGTTACAAAATTTTTCGAAAAGAGTATCTTCGTTCAATGGATACATAGATGAATAAAACTGAAATGAATTCATTAATAGAATTAAAATCCATAAAGATTATTAACTTGATTACTTTTATGTAATCGGAATTACAATCAGCGTTATCACCGATATTAAGGGATGCAAAATACAACATGAATCTTTTAGTAAATCCACCACTCAATGTCCAATAACAGTCTCTAAAACATAATAAAATAGTTATGTAATAGGATGATATGTAATTTATTCTTAATTAACCTGTTCAAAGGATAATTTCCAGGTGATCCAGGTGATTTAATGGTCCCGTGCGGTGATCTGCTTATAAATTCAAAACAATCTGAAAAAAAGTTTATCAATGTTTTATAATTGCTTTATTAAATTAAAATGAAATATTTATTTCTTACTCGATTTTTCTGAAGTCCAAGTAATTTCGAATCCTCCCCCACTAATTCTAGAATCAGATCTAAACCAAAAGTAGAGATTATTCTGCGCCGAAGTAAAAGTTCCATTAAGAGGTTTTTTGTTTCCACAAAATCTTCCTAAAGAAGGCGCTGCTGTATTTCTACCATCGTGTATCTATAAAAAATAAAATTTCAGTTAGACATATACTCGTTTATTAATAAGTAAATGTATACCTCGAGCCAATCTTTCCGGCATGATGCTGAATCTTCGATGTCAAATTTCGTAATATTTACTTTAATTACTCTCTTTGTATCATTCAATGAAATTGACCACACGCAACTAGAGCGATGATTATATGCTTCGAATTCACCATTAGGATATTTAAAGCTTCCATTATCGCTCTTAAATACTCCACCACAAGCTTAAAACACATATAAATATTATTATAATTTCCATTTGATTAATAATTTGCCATACCTTGGAGCTGCGTCGTGCAATATCTGCCGGAATATCCAGCTTTGCATTTACACCTGATTCTGTTGTTGACGTTTTGACATTCACCATCATTCCTGCAGGGATTCGGTGTGCACGCATCTGCGGACAGTACATCGCAATTTTTTCCTCTCCAATGACGGAAGCAACTGCATTGGTAACTCCCTTGCGAAACGTTTAAGGAGCAAGCTCCATTCACGCACGGGTTCGACGAGCAAGGATTACTTGGTGAAGTCGAGAAGACGCAACCATTTGGGCCAACACCATTTCCCACGTAACCGGTCGGGCATACACATTGGGTAGTTCCTGTATTAGATTTTTCTTACTATTTATTAGGTCTCAAGTTTATTTGTTTACCTAAATTATCAGTGCAAGTAGCAAGCCGGTGACAACCTCCATTATTTACGTTACACACTCCTTGATACGAACAAGTTACACCGTCTCCTGAATATCCAACTGGACAAGGACCGCACACTCTTGATCCCTAATCGTATAAAGTGTATTTTGAATAAGTTTTTTTAGAATAAGTTTAATTGACTCACTGGAGTGTTGATGCAGAAAGCCATCGGATTCATGCTACAACCGCCATTGTTTCTGTCGCATTCGTTGATATCAGTGCAATGATAACCATTTCCAGTAAAACCTGATTTAAGAATAATTTGAGCACAATTACCGTTTGGTTTTATTGAATTATTTACCAGTCGGGCATGGTCCACAATAAAATGATCCTGGTACGTTTATACAGGATACTCCGGAAGCGCAACTTGGATGATTTTGATTGCATTCATTTACATCTGTGGTACAAGCCTCGCTATTTGAATCTTTTGTCCAACCCTGCAATATTATTTAGCTAGGACTTGAATTCCTCATGAAATAGTGCTTTCGGAAACTTACTGGGTCACAAAGGCATTTGTAGCCTTTTTCGTTGCTTTGAGCCACGCATGTACCGTGTCCACACAATTCTGAACCAGCAGTGAGACAATCCACTGATTTCCTGGTGCAATGGAGACCGATAAAACCATTAACACAGTCACACCTGAATGGAACGAATTAAACAGAATATCTTAAAACATACTCAAATTTAAGACTTACGTATAGGATCCTATTGTATTGCGACAAATTCCTCCATTCTGGCAACCTAAATCGGTTCCTTGAATTCTAGAACACTCGTTAATATCTCGAGAGCAATCAATACCCTAAAATAAAAAAAAATGAAAACGAAGAGAATTCGTACTAGGCTAACTAAAAGCATGTATAATGTTACCTCCCATCCAGGAGTACAAGTGCAGAAATACCGTGCATACATATCGTAGCAGGTTCCACCATTTTTACAGGGGTTGCTTGCACAATCATCTCTTGCTAATGTTGCCGTTATGTTTCTAATTTTTCGATTTATTTGAATTATTTTAGTGTTAAGCCCATAAAGGGTGGAAATAATTAGAGCAGAATTTGGTGAGGTATAGTTGCTGGGTATTGGAGGAAGATCCACACCTTTAGATTCTAATGCTTCTAATCTATCATTGTATGACGATAAGGTATACTCATAATTCTCGGTCAATTTGGTAGCATTGTAGGCCTGCGAAAAGTTTGATATTTTCGTACATGTGATTTTGATATTTTATGCATTTTTTGCCATGTGTGTTCGTAAACTTACTTTGCTTAAAATTGGTAACACATCAATATTATTTATATGTATGTAAGAGCCTTCAGATAGTTCGAATTCTATATTTTTTCCTACTGGCGCTGCAATTTTCAAATGACCATTTTCAACACGAATTCGCGGTCTGTAAGTAAAAAACGATATCTGTTTAAGATAATTTATAAATTTTCTCATTACATCTAATAATTATAATTTATTGAGATATTAATAAATGATTATAAACGAATGCTGCCCATGGGGTATGCCTAATCAGCATTTCAAATCTTCTTAGAATCCTCTTAGATAAGATAAAAATTCTTATCAGTTGTATAAGGAAGGGTCTAAATAGGTAAAGTACGTTCATAATATGTGTTTATAAGATTAGGTTGTGTGACGAGATTGTGCTAGTATCATGGGTTTAATAAAAAAAATTGTAACGGTGGGCGACGGTGCTTGTGGTAAAACGTGCCTATTAACGACATTTAGCAGAAACGAATTTCCGGAGAAACATGTTCCAACTGTTTTTGATGCGTACTCGAAGGATATAGAAGTGGATGACAAGATTGTGTCCTTGGCGTTATGGGATACTGCTGGTGAAGAGGATTACGATAGACTGCGGCCATTGTCTTATCCACGAACCAATGTTGTGTTAATTTGTTTCGCTATAGACTTTCCGGACTCTTTGTTGAACGTTAGAGAAAAATGGTATCCAGAAGTAGCGCATTTCTTACCGCGCGTTCCTTATATTCTCGTCGGAAATAAATTAGATTTAAGGAATAATCCAGAAACGATCAAATACCTACAAAAATTGAACAGTCATCCTGTAACCCGAGAAGAAGGCGAGTCTATGGCAAGGAAGATAAAAGCTTGTTGTTACATGGAGTGTTCAGCCAAACATCTTTTAGGGATAAAACCGATATTTGAGGAAGCAGCTCGAATCTCCATGGACTCGAAATCAGAGAAAAAATTGAAACGGTATTGTAAAATGTTATGAAAACTTTAGCTAACTAATATACATAAATATGTATATTTTTGTAAATAATTTATATTTTTTTAAATAAAAAATGTATTCAAAAGAATATTAAAAAATTTTATATCAAAATGTTAATGAATTTTTCTTACTAAAAATTTTTAAATTACATTTACTTACAATTTGTCATATCGTATGCCACTAACGTAATAACTAAAATAAAATGTGAGTACAGCTAAAACTGTAGAAGTCTTCATTTTCACAAATTTTCACCACATTGTACCGTTGCTATTACAGGGGCAACAACAGATTGAATGTGAGCTGCACAAAAATTTATAAACTCCATGAAATTTAGGGGGCGTTAATGATATCGTTTACTTAAATAGAAAAATATCATTCATGTAATATGATATTCTAGATTAAAATTTATGGGGAGGTGTCATACGATTTCGTTATTGATTTTTTTGTTATTTTAGTTAGATGATTTAAAAATTTAAGTACATGAATTCCTTGTAAATAATTTAATTTTTACGGAATCGGCAATAAAATAACAGTGAAGAGGAAATAAAAACATTACGAAATTTAGAACAACTTTATTTCAATACGAGATCTATGGAGAAATGTACAGTATTCATAAGTGCACAGATAATTTTTTAAAGTGATTTGAAAGAACAATAAAGCCTTATATTATAATACTGTTTCATATCTAATTAAATTTCAATCTCTGCTTAAAATATAATCACAGGTTATTATGCATATAGATTTTAAAGAAACAGTGGTTTTAACATAAACCGAGTTTTTTAAAGCTCTCGTCATTAAATTAAATAAAATTTGTACATAAATTTGTATTACTAAAACTTTATAAAATATAGTTAGATCATGTAAATAGTTCCTCTAGAAAAATACATTTTTAACGGAATTATGTTAAACATAGAGACTGATTTAAATTAAATTTATTATTGGAAAAAATATTGCAGCGCTGAGAATTCTCTAACTTAAAATACCTAATCAAGTCATAAATTGGCATCATAAATTAAAAAAATATATATTAATTTTTTTAATAAAAACACAACTTTATTGGTAATGCACTCTAAAGTGTACATCTTCAGTTCTGCTCTAATTCTTCCAACGAAAACCTCACAAATTATTTAATTCTATAGTACTTGAAATTTGAAAATCCAAAGGAGAAAATAAATTTGAAATCTTTATCACATTAAAATTATTTATTACAAAAATAAATCTTCTATGTCAGAAGAAGTTGCGGTTAAATATTTATCACTACTATACTATTAAGTTGTTTCTTAATTTTGTACTATTCGTTATACAAATTACAACTCAAATCAAGTTTTTCTAAAGTTACAGACCGACAGGAGTAGTTGTAGACGTGAGGATGTGATGATTTATACTATTTTAACGTTACATCTACAAGTATTCTTGTCGAACTGTACAGCAAAAATAATTGAGCTTACGTATTATTTTAATAAATACGAGACATTTAAAAATACATAGTTCTAATAGGTATGTCAATTTTAATACAGTTTACTGAAGAGATTCAGCAGAGACGAAAGAAAAAATTTTTAGGAAACGAATAAAAATATTTCAATTTATAAATTTAAAAAACGAAAATAAAAAAGCTCTTTTATCTTGTGAAATAAAATAAGCATTCTCTCAAATAAGTTACACACATATTTAAATATTACACACAATATTATTATTTGGCTATGTTTATGTAGAATTAAAATATAAAAAACAAAAAAATAAAAATAAAATCTTCCTATATACCTAAAACGATTCATTTACATAAAATAAACATAAAATCTACTTGGCAACAACAAGATCAAATTTTTCTTAAAGGGCCATTTATTTTTCTAAATACAAATAAATAGAAACTCCTTTTCCCCCCAATTTGGTTCTACTCTTTAAAAATTTAATTAGTGGTGTTAAGAGGAAAAACTTGCGTGATTTCCCCTATACCTTTCGCAGATCCTTCTCTAAAGAGAAGCCTCTGCCCGACTGAAACGTATTCCGGGTGCAATTTGAATTTAAATAATACGGAATCTCGTTCGTTAGTGTGGATACACTTCGAAGAGCAAATTCCAATAACCACGGCGGTTTGACGAACATTCCCTATGTGTACAGTCGTTTGAAATCCTGGATAAATGGCGGTGGCATGAAACAGCACGGAAACGCTAGCTTGAAAAAACATACATCCCTTGGCGCTTTGATCGGCGCTCAAAAGTACCATACCGTTCCTCAAACCTGGGATGTAAGTGTCCAGACAGACAGCCGCACTTTGTCCAGCTCTAACCATTCTGCAGGGCACTCGGTTTCGATGGATAGACTTCACCGCTATATTCTGAAAGGATCCATTTTTCATCGGACCTATCTGCATTTTAGTTCCTTCAGTAATCACGCCTTTTGTCAGAAGCCCGCCGAGCACCTGACCTACATCCCCAGCCTTGAAATTTTCGTCTATGTGAAACTCCGGAGATTCCTACAAAATTACAAACAATAATCCTTTAATTCGTTGAATTAGTAACTCGCCTACCTGCTCCAAACGTTCTTTTTCCTTGATGCTCACTCCTGGAGGCAGCACATGCAGAAATTTGAGAAGCAACTCCAGGCCTTCTCCGCTTACACTGGACACGCAAAAAATCGGTACGACGTTTTCCGTCAACTGATTTGCTCCAGCAGTTATCACATCGTCTTCGTTTTTGATTATCAACGGAACGCGACGGCTTCCCACTTGTTTCAGGAACGATTCCAGATTTTGAAGGGTGCTAGTGGGTTGTACCAAATCAATTTTAGTTATTACAATGAAAAAGGGTACATTCAAAGCCACCACGATAGCAAGATGTTCGTGGGCCATTCCAACTGCACCCGCGGTACTTGATATCTAGAAAATTGAATAAATAATTAAGATAAGCTATTGGTATAGTTTTTGGGTAAATTAGTTTTACTTACAACAAGCATTGCATGGTGTGGTGAATATCCAGATAAACCTTGTATGGTAGTTCTCAAGTACTTTTTATGTCCAGCAAGATCCAAAAAAGTCACTAATTTGGTGGAAGAATCACAAATTTCTTCAGCAGTTATCAGTTCGCTGTAACTGTAATTTATAGCTTGACCCTGCAAATTATTAAAGTGTGAAGTTAAGATTCCCAAATTGGTTAAATAGCGATCTTACTTGAGAATTAAAACCAAGGATTTCGTGTGATATGGATGACGTTCTGCCACTTTGTATCTCGTGTAGATGGCGAAACATGTTTAATCTCGCACGGCCACGTCCGTTGTCCAGACTACCTTGTGTTAATACGCCCAGTAAAGTGGATTTTCCGGCATCGGCATTCCCAAGTACAGCCACTCTAATTTCGATGTTGTTCTGATCATCGGGTATCTTCCTTACGAGAACTTCTGCGACGCTTCTACCATTATCTAGGATTCGTTCTCTTAGAATCGTTGTCGTGGCTCCTAATTTTATAGCCATTTGCTGTAGAGTCTGCAAACTCGCGTTCATGTCCCTCTTCGAAAGTCCTGTCAATATGCCGCTATCTTCCACCCCTATTTCATAAATAGCTTCGCCATTTCCCTCACGTAATCGCCATTTCAGCTGCAAATTTCCAATTTTCTTAATCGACCTTCGAGTTATTAAAACTCACCATTTAAATAATTCATTTAATGAAAGAAGATTATTTTTACCAATCTATTTCTAACAGGAAGTTAAGAAAATAAACAAACGATTAGAAAATTTCCTGTTTAATTCATTCAAAAGTTTTTGAATGAAATAAGTACTAATTTACGATATTTACAAGAATTTTACAATTTTAAAAATAATATAATATAATTAATTACCGATTATTGCAATTTAATTTAATATTGGGCAATATGAATTAATCTGAGGAAATTCGTATGATGAGATTTAAGATAATATGTTGCAATAAATGCAATACAAAGGAACGTTATTTTTGTGAATAAACAAAAATATGTTACAATTAAAAAAATATATATATAATAATTAACTAACCTGTGTTACCAAGTGTTCGAATCTTTGTTTTGTAGGATTGACTATTTTTAGTTTGTATTCAACGTTACCCAGCTGGGGCTCAGGAGGGAGAGCATTTTGATTGTTCATGTTGTCCAGAGCGAATTCCTGATTATTCGAACAATCACTGCATGATCCAGGGTCAAAAAGGCTAAAGAACGAGTCCATTTTTGTTTCAACTTAAATCCTAGAAAATAAATGTTATTTAAAAATGTATTTATCCAAACAACATTTTGGCAGCATATTGTTCGTTATTATGAAATAGGTGAAAGTGATTTATTAGTTAAGTAACCTTTGCGGTACACTGAAGCATATAAGTAGTTAAAGTACAATTCAAATTAAGAAATTTATCATATTCAATACTAGCTAATGTTAGGTACTATTTATGTTTACAAACCTTTTGTTTATTATGAAATTTTGCGTGACAAATCAGGGACGATTAAAAATAAACATTTCAAAACATAAACAACAAACGAACTACCTATCACTTGGATTTTAGTTTAAAACTGTAATTTTAAGACTTTAAAACACTGTCATATAAATTCAACGCCTTTTTTCTTATCAATCACCTATAAATCTTATTATAAATTCTGATGAGCTTCGCGTAAACTGCTTTTCGGAATAGTAATCAATTTTATATACATTATAAAAAGTAAATCAGTAGAGGTGAATTGAAGCAAACGTTCCTGTTATTTTGTATAACTTCTGTTCCAGTTGTTCCTTTAAAAACATTGCAACACTCTCGAAAAATTCAAGCATTATGCTCATAATGGGATAATAATTGTAACAAATGCATTAAAAAGTCTCATTAAATTATAATCAACAATTTAAATGATTTGAAATTCGTATTGATTATTGATTTAAAGTTGTAACAGGTACGGAAACTCCATCTCTATATAGATACTGGCTGTATGTTCAAGGCCTTTGATTACCTTGGGAAATAAAATGTATAATATTTTATTATAATTGTCATTATCAAGAATTAGTGTTAATTATTTTTTAGCAGTTATATTTTATTCCATTGTAGTATTTATTTTAAATAAAAAGGTAAATAAATGAATTAAATTGAATTAGCTGTATTCCTTTATGATCAAGTCAGTTTTCAGTATCGTTATAAGTAAAAAGAAGAATCAATATGTAATCTAATGTGACACTTGATATGTCACTGATATAAAAAAAATAAAATTTACATTTGAAAATTAATTGATTTTAATATTAGGAGGATTACTTTTCAATATTAAAAAAATGCATACTGATTTATCAGCTCACCTTCATAATAAGACCTGCAATGAGTTAATACAACTGTTAAGCCAATGTCACAGTGAGGTAAGCAGCATGATTTAATGTTACTCAACTATATTTTTTAAAATCATATTAGTCTTAAATTTAATATTGAAGAAACCAGTATAAATTCATAAAAAAAATTCTAAAAGTTCTAAATTATGTATTGTTTTAGACCTCTTTTGTTTATTTAACAATTGCTTTACTTATTTAATTTTTAATAAAGTTGCAATGTTTTAGAATCCCTTCCTGAAATTTTTTGGAGTGTGCAATCCTGAAGATGATAAAGTAGTAAAATGTTTAAAGGAAGAACGTCTGGAAAGAAGGAGGATAAATTATGAAAAATCTTTGGAAATGAAAGCAAGATTAAAGAAAAAATTTGAGGAACAAAGAGAAAATAAACTATAATTGTTAATGTTTGTACAAATTTACTTGAATTAATAATAGTGCATACAAGGTAACGTTTGTTATATAAATAAAAATCGATTAATAATAACATTCAAGTTTATTATATGTTGACATTTATCTAAACATAGAAATTTAAAACTAGGCTTAAAAATGTGAAGTTGGAATATCTAACTCTAACACTACTTATTGATTTACAATGAAATAAAAAGTAGAAACCCAACTGTTCCAAAACTAATTGATACTGCTGAATTTTTAAATCATTCCCTCGATTGCTTATTATTGAAATAATATGTATGTATACATTATAAACTCATATAAAATATTTTTGTAATTCCAATATACTTTCAAATGTATGGAATGGCGTATATAATATAAATAAATTTTAGAGTTGATCTTCAAAAAAATAATATGTTTATCAAGCCAAACCACAACCTTGAAAAGTTAAGTTATTTATGACATTATAATACAATTGAATCTAAAGGATATTTCTTTCATAGAAAATATCTTCAAAATTGTGATTAAAGCCGATTAAATAGATAGGTATTTGACACAAAAGTAAATGGACATTTGCTAAATATCTAAAGTAAATTTACAAAATAAAATTCATGAAATATAAAGTACCCTCAAAGTTACAATAGTTATAGGTACTTATTATTTTGTAAAAGCAGCAAATACAGCCCACAGCACATCAGATGTATTTGGTTTGCTGGACTCTTCTTCGAAGTTTAGATCCAAAAGTTTTCTTACTCGTTTAGTCGCTAGTTCGTAGTCATCATCATTTAAAGGTGCAAAAGCATTCTCGAGTACATCGCTTGCATGTGCAAGAAAAATTAACGCTAACATTCGTTTATCCATTTGTTGAGGATTGTTTACCCATTTGGAAAGAACTGCATCTTGAATCTTCTTGATTAATCGGCTCTTAGTGACATTATCAGTTAAAGGATGAGTAGTCATATCAAAAAATAAAAAATTCTGTTTCTCTGTTGTAAGGACACCTTTTTCAACTAAATTTTTAGCCAAACGTTCTCGAACATTTTTTAATTGATATCTCAACTTCAATGGATTCCATGTCTCACCACTTAAATACTCAATCCAGCTTTGAACAGATTCTGGTGGATCAGTTTCTTTAAGATGCTTCAATGCTTCATCGAGGAGGACGTCCCCAATAGGTGTATCATTTTTAACAATAAGCTTCTTCGCCAAAAGGTTCTTTCTTCTCATGCCAACTTTCTCCAACTCTACGCGCCCTCTAAGACCTAATTCTATTAAGATACATCCTCGCAAACCACTGGAAATGCAATCATTCCAAAATGATGTGTAACCTTCTTTATCTTTAAGACCCAGCAATAATACTTCTTCCATCAATGTCAGCCTCGTTTCTTTAGAGTCTCCATCGTCGACATCTTCGTCACGGCTGTTCTTTTTCTCATTATTTTGTTCTTCTTTGTTTACACCCTCACTATTATCCCTAGTTACATTTCTTCTTTTAACAAAACCCTCACTACGATTCATTTTCAGAGTACATATCTATATGTTGACGTTTACTCAAAGATGTTTCACTCGTAGACAAAAATCATGGATCCCCTCCCACAACTACATCTGTCAAATGTCAAAACTAGTTCTATTTCATTTCTTAGGCATTTTTTCGTGATTTTTTAACTACTAATCGTAAATTTCTCCTTAATTAACAAATTTATTCAACTGTTACTAGTCATTATAAAATAATTATCCAATCTATATCTATATCTATAAATTTTCCTTTGTTGTGCATAAATTAATTTATTGCTATCTCTGTTTTACTTATTACATTTATTGATAGTTCCGTCCTACTTAGAGTTCCGTCCTACTAGAAACGTCATAATGAAAACGATTGCGTGCGTTGGTAGACAGGTCTGTAATAAGCCAAGAAAATTTAAACAGGTCCGGCTTTTGAAATTTCTGCATAAAAAAGGTAAGAATTCATTAGTTATCTGATATTACATTAACCATTTAGTAGATTATTTAATGGATCATTTAATGGATTTATTTTTATGGATTAATTGAATATAAAAATATAGTAAAACACTATTAGACAAGTACCTATCTAATTTTGAGCTAATTCAATTTTTCAATTACTACTTTTACTTCATACGATTCATATTGACGTTTTTTCTCGAATATTTAAAAAAATCCATTGAAACAAAATAGTACAAATGTAAATATATTTATTTTATTCATTTACTTAACCTAGTTTATTTTATGACATGTTATTTTTCAAAAATTATTCGTCTGAAAAAATGAACAATAACAACTAATACGACTAAACGTATCATTTAACTGTACATTCAATCAATATACACATAACAATAATGAACTTCACAATATTTTTTTTAAATTTTATTAAGGAATTGTACATCTGGTGTCAAAAATATATTTATTTACCTACTCTCTTCGAAATCGATTTTTGGATGCATGAACACTCCGACAGCAATAACGGTTTAAATGCGATCAACACACTGGCAGGTGACTACGAAAGCGTAACGTTAAAACGTCTTTAAATTCGTTTTACACACACAGGTTAACATCAGTCTAAATGATATGATGACGATTCACACAGGCTTTAATAATTCGAAAAAAAAAATGTTACAAAAAGTCGTTTAATTTATACTAAAGTCACTTAATATTATTCGTAAATAGTTACTCTAGAGTAAGATCGACTTTTCGAAAATTGGTGTCACATTGATTTAACGCCAAAATGCGTTCTTTGAAAGTCTTACGCAGGATGTATGTCCCAAAATTTGATGCTAGATGCTGGTAAAGGAGGAATTTGTTTAGTTTAATCAAATCGCTTCAATTTTTTGGGAAAACATCGATTGTTACTCAGTATTCACAGGACTTGTTCTACAAGTAAGGTTAATACTTGAAACTGAACTAACCTTTGTTAGTTCAACTATCGGGAACGGATTTTTTTTGCGAACCGGCTGCTGCTTCAGCTAGGACACTTTCAATACGTTTTTTGTGAGTTCCTAATAGTTCTGGAAGGTCATAGGCGATGGCAATATCCAACCTATTTATCGGACACCCTCTGAAATATGTGCATGTTGCTGATAATTGCTGGAATTCGTACAGAGGATTCAATTTAAAGAAGTCTCTGTAGACGTCTGGATCTGGTAGATCATAGCGAGAAATATTCGTAAGAGTTGAAAGTCCCTCATAAATATGATAATCTTGCGGATGTTCAATGATAGCATCTGCGACCTGTTTACGGTTTCCGAAGACTGATTTGTGATTATAATAAGTCGTCAGATAACAATCCACCATTTTTGCATGATTCCGTACACGCACCTAAAAATGTTGTGTAGATAGGTATAGGAATATTTGAGGGATGCTTGGAAAATCACGGAAACAACTGTACTTACTGCAAATCTTCGTGCACTGGCTATTTTATTTTCAATTCTCTTATCAACTGCTCCTCTCAAATCTCTTAAAAAAGCTCTTTCTTGAGCTTGTAGAAGTCTAATAGGAGCCCACGGTTCATAAGGTTTACTCCACAGTGATGTTGTGTACATAATCGGAGGCTGTGGAGATGACATTAGTGGTGATATATTCCATATTAGAGCCCCTTGAACTCTCATAAGTTCTTCAGGTTTAACTCTATCAGCTTTATTCAAAATAATTCGCGTCTACAATGAAATACTCAGATTAATAATGGCGACATATTTTTTAAAAATTTAAGAAACCTACTTGGTGCTCTCTACCTTTCAATTGATCTAATATCGCCTCAGTTTCTGGACCAACATCAAGTTTAGAAGGATCGTATACTAAGAAAATAATGTCACCTCTATCGATGAACCACTGACAGGCATCGTTAAATGGAAATACTCTAGAAACTTGTTTTCTAACTTCTAGAATTCCTGGTATTTCCACGATATTGACCTGAAAGGAAGGTTAATTAAAAATACCACTTCCACATTAGTGTAAAATTGGATAATATAGTGTACTGACAATGCCATGTTAATATTTTTAAAGTCAGTACAGCCAAAATAGTTTAAATTCAGACACTTTATATAATACCTTTTCCAATAACTTTGATGGGAGTTTGACACCTCGAAGACGTTCTTCCAAAGCTTGTCCAAATTTCTGTAGACCAGAAAATGTGAAATCCGCCGCTAATTCAGTTCCATCGATGACTTCAGGCTCTTCTCCATACATTAAAATGTTAAAATAAGCCGGAGAAGGTTCCGCTCCTAATAAATTTGTACAGTAATAATATTAACAAATTGTTGCATATGATACTTTACCTGTTCTGAGTGAAGTTTCATTATATTCGTTATTGGTCAGATAATTGATAATTGATGATTTTCCACCGCTCCAAGGACCCATAAAAAGAATCAAGGGCTTCGAAAATATTTCCGAATCTCCAAAATGACGATTACTCAAGTCTCTGTATTTATATACAACTTCCAACGGTTTAATGGCATTCTCGTATAATTTTTTGAGATCTCTAAGAGTAATTTCGGAAACTCTGTTGATAAGCGATTCGGATTCTGAGGATTGATCATCTAATTTTAAGAGCTGTTCCACGTGGTCTCGAAGTCTAAGTTCTGTTGGAATTTCTGTATCTAAAGATAAATCTTCCACGGGTGCATCCTCTGCATTTTCTTCTTCTCCACTTTCATCTTTTTCGTTGCTTTCAACAGCTTTTTCTTCCCTTTGGTATAATTCAGTTAAATCTATTGGTTCCTTAGTTTCTTTACTATCTCCTACATCTACAACTAACAAAATTTAAATGATAAAAACCAATGATATAAACCCTGCTTACCGTCTTTGTTATCAACGTTGACCGGCTCCATCTTTTCTTCTTTAGAATCGGTGTTATCCTTTTCTGATTTATCGTCTTCTTCTGATTTTTCGCCTTGTTCTGGTTCAGAATTATCAATATCAGTTTTCTCATCTGATTTTTGAGAATCTTCGTTTTCATCTGATTTATCGTCAATAGTGGCTTCTACAATTTCTTCCTTAGAGTCGCCCTCTGTCGAATCTGTATCCTTGGCTTCTTTAGAATCTTCATCAGTTTCAATTTTTTCCTCGTTAGATTCATCATCAACATCTCTTTTAGTTATTGTATGTTCATCTTGATCTTCCTTAGATTCTTCTTGATTTTCTTTCGATTCGGCTTTAATGTCTTCATCAGTAACCTCCTGTGTATTCTCTTGATTTTCATCGGTAGAGTCGTCTTGAATATTTTCTTTCGAATCGGCTTCTTGTGAATCATTTACTTTCGTTTCTTCGCTTTGAGGCTGATCCTCTACATTTTCTTTTTCATCTACGGTGTCTTGATCGTTTTCTACTTCCACTGATTCATGACTATTGTCTTGCTCACTCGGAGCTTCTGCCAACTGAATTTCTTCGTCTATTTTGGTTAGTTCTTCTATGCTTTCCTTCTGTTCTTCGTATAAATCGGCTTCTGGTGACAGATTAACTTCTACGCTTTCCGCTGCTTGATCGCCATCATCTTCTTTCGATATTTTTTCACTTTCATCATCTTTGGTATCCTCAGTAGTATCTTGTTCTTCTTTACTGTTTTCTTGACTACCAACTTCTACATGTTCACTATCGCCTTCTTTACTACCTTCGTCGTCGGTTTGTTTCTCTTCGCTTGCATTTTCTTCTTTTGAACCGTCATCAACCTCAGCTTCTTTACTATCTGAGTCGTCTACTGATTGTTGATCACCTCGTTCAGGACTTGCGTCGTCTAGCTAAAATTAAATTCAGTTACCACTAGTACTACCTACCTGTTTTGATGCCTATCTAGATTGTTAAGATAACGAAAACCCCGCTGAAGCAGTAAATAATGGTATTCTGAATGTTCATTTTGTTAGTTACAAGCTGTATATACGATAGGTATGAACAGGTAGTTAAATTAATGTTATGATGGTAAAATGTCATGGAAGCCATGATAAGCAAAACTCGTTGGATGATAGGATATACCTTATCCTCAAAGTGCTTGCTTTCATTTGTTGCTTCCTCTTTTTTGCTTGGAGTTTTCTTAAATATCTTTTGGAAGAATGAAGTCATTTTTTGGAATAAGCTCGGTCGTACCTCTGGCTCGATTTTTTTTTCGGTTGCAATATCATGTTCTTTGCTCTCTTGACCATCTTCGTTAGTATCGTCTTTTTCACCGTCACCTTCTCGGTGATCGGAGTCGTTTGTTACATCTACAGTGGGAGGATCTTCCTTACTGTCGTCTAGCTCTGTCGATGATCCTACAACAGCTTCGCCAGCCTCCAGTTCTTTCAAAGCCTTTTCGATATACGGCCTGCATTCGGATTCGGAAGGACCTTCTGACTCGACCTCACCTTGCACACCTTCGGAGTTAATAGTTTATTTTTAGTAGGTACAGCAAGTGAGATAGCCGGAGAAAGTGTGGCGTCAGAAATATAGGTGCGATTCCTTCGCCAAAATATTATTCATATTTGCATCTAAAGGTTTATTATACTTTGCTGACGCAATATTACGGCGACAACGTGCCAAATATCGTAGTTGATCCAAATGAAGTGTAAAGCGAGCGGTGCAAAATCAATGTATTAATTGTCTTTTAAACGTTTTATATTTCTGTAATCATTTAAAAATAATTTTTCATTGTTTCAATAATTGTGCCAACTTTCGAAATATTAAAGTTATTATATTTTTAGCAGTTGACTTATACACGAAAAAAATAGAAAACGGGTCGGAATATTTAAACATTTTCTCGTTATCAAGGAATATACAGTGGATTTCAGGACGAATTGATCGTATTCAAAATATTTAGAAGTTGACAATTTAAACAGATTCGGAAGATTTAAACAGAACTAAATTTATTCTACGAATTCTAATAATAGATTTTTATATTATGTTGTTTTCTCCAAATAATTCTTATAAAATACCTACTGCAAATTATTGAATTTACATTACGTTTTAATGTTTTTATAAATTTAAATTTATATAATCGACTTAATTCTGCTATGTAGGAATGTAAGTTTTTTGTAATTATTTTACTGAACTACCATCTAAAAATCAATCTATTTTTGATTAGGTCCGTTTATTTAAGTACTCACAAATTCATTGTTTATTTTACTTTTCAGTCATACAAGCTTTCATATAACTTTTACAGCTGCCATATCATTTTATTACCACAATTTGCCATTTTCCGTTGTAATATAGTATTTTCTTACAAATATTGTTGTATAATATTATGGCTAAATTGTAAATGACCTAATTTATCAATTCGAAAAAAATAGTGCAATGTTTCGATACCTACCTTTTTTTATAAATATTAAAATATTGGCATACGTCCACACCAACAGCTGTAATTTTTTTTAAATTAATATATTATATATAGATATAGAAATGGATGTAATGTGTAGGTTTATAGTGAAAAAAAAATTTATTATGATTCCAAAATATTTTCCAGGTGTATTAATAAAATTCAAGGTGTAAATGGTTTAAATTTAATTTTGAGTTTAGTGGCTCTTTGAATTACTATTAGATAAACTGTTAAATATTTTAAACATTCTATAGTTAAAGGGATGTCTACAGAATTTTCTTTCAAGGTCGTCTAAAAATGTTGCAGTCTAGGGTATCTTTTGTTGGCTTGTTGCCTGTAAGTGATAATGCAGTATAATGTAATATGTACTCGGCTACTTTTAGATCCGCAACTTCTAAAATACCTATAGAATTTATACTTACGCACTGCTGCTGAAATTCAAGTTTAAAACTTAGCATTAAATTACTGCTAATTTCTTAAATAATTTAATAAAACCAAGATGCATCGGCATGACTTTTTTGGTTATTTATAGAGATTTATTTGTGGCGAATTTTTATTATTAGAAATTCGCTTCAGCCAAAAATAACGCATTATAGAGTAAAATAAGAAAAGCAGTTTTTGTAACATTACATAACAATGTAAAAAATTACTGAGCAAATAATATTTTTTACCGTAAATTGAACCTTAAAACGACTTTCTAACCCACGCACTGAACACTTTTAATATCAAGTACGAAGTTTTTAGAAAATTTCGCTCAGGAACCGTTATCCAGATTGATTTGTTTCAAAACGTACCCTGCAAGGTAGTGGCGAGAAGGGACAATCCAAGAAGCAGCACCAGCCCAGAAGATCTTCGATAGACCTCCATGGCTTCTTCTCACTACACCGGTCACATAAAAGTCCCGCACTGAGCGCCCAGATTACGTTCGACCATCGCATATCATCGCGACGCTGGTCAGTAGCGCCGAGCGGTGTGTGCCAAAAATACGCATTCGCCAAAATCTCCGCATTTACTTGTCTACGAGTTACGCGAACTTCCATGATAAATGACCCTAACCTTTCTTTATTACAGCATGCCGCTCGAGCACTGGCGCTACTAATCTACTTATCTTTTTATATCATTTAATATTAGTTTCTCCACCTGGATACCAATTTTTACTCTATGCCACATTTTTTTCAATAGCATTCCTCTACTTCACTACACAATTTTTCCTCTTTCGTTCTCCCTATATCATTTCCCAGCCTCTACATTCTACTAAATTTTCCAAGTTAGGTTTCATTCCATCTTTTATTATCTTTTATTCATTTAATATGTATCACTTTTAAAATAAAATTTAACCAAAGGGATGTGAGAAAAATACATTTTTTTTGGAATATATTTATGGGACAAGCTGTACGCGAATTAGTTTTAATTTTGAAGTATTTTGCGGCGCTCATGATTTAAGATATCTCAAAACGATACAGGTCGGCAGTCACCGAATTTAAAACGCTCCAATCTCGAAATCACTCAAGTTTAAATATGTATGAGGTCCCCATTCACTACATTTTTGACCTGGATATGTTGGAAAATTGAATTTGCCTGTTTAAATACCATACTTTTCCATGGAGTACACATTGGGAGTAACTCGATCGAATGCTGAATGGATGGGAAATATATTAAATAGACAGCGTAGACTTCTTAAAATAACTTTTTTTATAATTGTTTTAAAATCGTGACGGCATAAGCGTCATTCGGTTAACCTGTATTTTTAGTTTAACCCCATTTGAATCTATTTTCGGAAAATAATTGCAAACATTTTATTTTCGGGATTATTAAATTAAACTATCGAATTATTTTAAATGAACTATTAATAATCTTTGATTGCATTGTGGACAATGTCATTGTCTTTGGTATAACCCTGGTATATGAAAGATTTTCTACTGAGGTTGTGCTTTATGGGATTTAAAAAAAAACAATGATTAAAACACACAATATTTTATAAAAATAAGAAAAAACATCAACCTCACAATTACAACAAAATGCGTTTATTAAATTAACAAAATTGACTAGAATGCGTTATGCTTCTTTTGTAAGTATTTTTAAATACTTCATAAAAATCGAATTAAAAGCGAACAAGCAACAAATAAGTGAGTCTAATTGTCACAAAAATTAAGTTTTATCCAAGATTAATCTGATAGGACTCAAGTATAAAAATAATGTTTTAATATATCTTGGAATGTTACTCGAATTATTCGGAATACATAAAGAATACTTACAAATGTTTAAAAAATAAAATAAGTAGTTACATAAAAACCGTTTCATCTTTGGTTCATATTGCATTAATTTAAATAAGTTTTTCCAAAATATACCCACCTGCGTTACACATAAAATTGTCATTTCAATAACAACAAATAAACAACAGATTTTTAACTTACGAGAAGCTATTTGAAACAAGCAAACTACAAAACCATGCTTCTTATTAAGCATTAAGTGCAACTTGTGTCTCTAGGTCGTTTCATTTTGAACCTCGGTTGATTTGAGTGATATCAGTGGAAGGATCCAAATAAAAATCCAGCTTGTTATCCAAAATATGTTGGGCTAAATTCCTGTCTTCGTCTGCGTACTTTTCGTCGTGTGTGAACCAGATTCCTATGGCACATCTTGAGCCAGTTTTAACGGCTGTAACGCCATGGAGGTTTTCGGGTCCTGAAGAAAATGCTACGAGTCGACCACATCTTGGTTTAATGCTGCTCTAGAATGCAAAAGTATTGTTGAATTTGCAGGGTGTATATTAGCAACCATTTACTTGTATTTCTAATCCAACGGGATCTGATGAAAATACGAACTCTCCACCATCGAAATCGTCGTTCAAATATAAAATAGCACTGTAATCTCTCCAGGTGAAGGCTGGAAAAGACTTAATGCAGGTCCTGTTTTTTAATATAACGCAGTTATCTGCGTGGATTTTGTGGCTGAAATCCGTCCGATTTTTTGATGATCCTAAAAAATATTTTTCGTAACAGCCAGTTAATTACAATGTTAAAAGCATACCTGGCAAAGCCGTCCTACAAACAAGATGTGTAAACGAAAAATACAAATTTTTCTTTATTTTAAAATAGTTTTTAATGTATTTCCTAGCAGTGTCTGTTATCCTCAAAAACACATCCAAATACTTAGGCCGTAGCATTTTAAAATACGTTAAAAATAACGTTCTGCTCAACGTGATTCCTTCGAATTTCTCCATAATTGTGTGAGGAGATTTTCTGCCATCGTAGCCATCTCCCAATATAGCGAAATATTTCGCTATTTCCATGAGTGTTTTGCACTCTTTGGACGTTGCTAATCCGTCTAAAACCATTCTTTTCGAACCTTTCAGTACTTTTTCACTCATTATAACGTGAAGCCTCCTTTTTAGTTCCTAGGGCAACAGATTTTATAACAGAAATTAACGCATGAATCAACTATGAGTTGATGCACATCAATTTAAAAATACAAAAACATGTATTACAAACTGTTTATTATTTTTTATTTACAGTTATAAAATAATATAAAAAATAAATAAACACATAACTGGTGGTTAACAAATACAGTAGTAATATATATACAGTATTTTCCCAAAAGCAAGAATCAAGAATTAGGAGCAGAAGGTGCAGTAGTAGTAGTAGTAGTAATACTGTCAGTGTCAGAAGAAATTTCCTGCAAGTTGAATGAAGTTAATAAGACAAGGTAAACCACATGCTACCTTAAACCTACCAATACCCAATTTTTCTTTATTTAAATAAATATATTTATTTCGTATAACAATTAAATTTCAATAACTAGATTTTCCAATCAAATTCCACCAAGAGGCTTCAGTAGATGTGATTGTGAAATTTAAAGTTCACAAATTGAAGTAAATCACGGGAGTGAATAAAACGAACGTTTCGTTTGCCCACCCTCGTGAAGTATTAGAAATAGCACAAAAAACATACAGCCCTAGGTAACAAACAAAGCATTTACAATTACCTCTGTTTTAGCTGTTCCAGCACCTTGCACGGCGAATTCGTTATGCACAAATTTCAGAAGTCTGCTCTCGTAAATTTGCCTTTGAACATACCTTATAGCTTCCTAAAATATTCAAAATTCATAAGATTATATAAAATTTAAAGGGACTCCTTATATGCCCACCTCTCTAGGTCGAAAATAGTCGTTCTGGACTTTTGGTAGTTTGGAATAATACTTCATATTATCCAGCATTGTGTCATCGTCTGGATAAAATGTCAAATAACTGGCTACTGCTGCACAGGCTGCCTTCAAATTACCAACTGCAAATGAATTATAAACAATTAATTTATTTATCCATAACTCATTTCTGTTACTTACTTTTGTAATAAGCATACTGCAAGTAATGGTAGTGACTAGGTAGAAGATCATCGTGGATTTCGCCATTGAGAGAGCTCAGCTTTTTCCTGCATTTCTGTTTGCATTTCAAGCAAACTGTAAAATGATCTGGAATTTATTTGAACCAATTAAAATGTTATGGCATTTCGTGGGTAGCATGCATACTTGAAATCGATGGTATAAAGTCAGGATACCATCCGTGATCGAAAGGTCCTTCGCATTGAGCCCTGCATTCATCTTCTGCTTGCAAATATTCAGTCAAACTTTCTTCCATGTTAGATATTACTGAGTCCCAGTCTTTGTATTCGTACGCCTCGGATCCGTGTACGTACAGATAAACGTAGTCCTAGGAAATTATTCGAGTAAATATAATAATGATTTCACAAAATATGTGCACTTACTTTGGCTTCGTAATTTACTATGTCTTTTTTATCCACATTTTGATCCAAGTAGTGCTGCAAGTTATTGGCCATGATTTTATTATCAGGATGTGCAACAAGGTATGTAAAGGCAGATGACGCAGCTTTTACAATATCTTTTGTCTGAAAATGAATTAAAAATTCACTTCATACTGATAAAAAATAAAAATTAATATCAAAATAGTAATGGAAAGTTTTTGAAATGAGATGAGTATTGATTATATTGTTAAGAGATATTATATACTAAATTAATGAAATACCTCTCTAACATTAGGTGCTAATTATCGTTAATTTTCTAAAAATAAATAAGTCCATAATATTTCGACGTTCATGAAAATTATTGATAGTATCGCATGTGCACTTTGCGTAAATTTAATGCGGCGTTTAATTTCTGTTTTGCAAAATTTCTTGTAAACGATACGGTCGAACAAATTGTAAGCAGTAAAATTACGCCAATAAGTTTTATCGAAAGGAATAACGCAAGTCTAAAAATATTAGTTGTTTTGAACAGAAACTCTAATAAAATTTTTATAGCGACTAGACGAATCAAACGGCAATATAGAGCAAAATAATAATTATTTCCTAGAGCGTTACAATGTTGACAATATGAATTACGCATTACAGCATCAATCACAATAGAAAATGACGTGTAAGTTTATCAAAATAAGAAATGGATATGAGAAACTGCTTAATGTAGGTAATACGAATGCGATCATTTTTATTGTCGAAGGCATTAAACCCATTAATGTTCGCCCCACTATTCAAACGTGTTGTATGTTTAAAACAAAGTCTTACGTTACAAAATACTGTAAATTAAGATTAAAATTAGATACCTACATACATACTAAAATGAAAGGTCATTAAATACATAAAGGGTAATTAAAGTGCTGAGCTAAGTTTACTACATACAAGAAAACTGCATATAAATGTGAATTAACCATTTGTCAACTTTTGCAATGTCAAGGAAATAAACGGCGAGAATAAAACTCATTATTTTAGGCATATTACCCGTGTCTAATGAAAATATGATATAAAATTTTCATGTTTTTATGTATGTTCTCACCCCTCAAAAATAACTTATTCCGGTAGGGTAATTTCAAAACCGGATCCATAAAAACCATATTTATAGAGCGTAAGGCGTAAGGTCAAAAATGTAATTGAAATGAATTAGTTTGTGTTACGTCATTTAATAATAGAATATCGACAAATAATTATCTGTGTTAAGAATACGAACGTATTGAATCCCAAAAACTAAAATTAGATATTAAAATGGCGTGTCCGAACTGAGAATGAAAAAAATTACTAGTTATTACAAAATTTCCAAAAATAAGAGCAGGAACATCTGCAAGAATGCGCTCATGAAACGTTACAAATAGGAAGGAAATAATTGAAAAACCATATTTAAACAGACAAACAGAAATAATAAACTTTGGCAAAAGTATTTTAAGATATCCGCGTACTGAAGAAACAACGTTGAGTAACTGTATAAAATCATTTGCAAATAGATTTTCGTTCAAGAAAATGTGCTCATTGTTTATAAAAATAGTATTAAAGACATTTGATTTAAACAAAACTTGCAAACTAGAAGAGTTGTCTTTGATGCTAATTTAAAACAATAATTTCTAATGTTTTCTAGCAGAAATTTAATCATGGAATATTTTATTTATTTAACTGAAAGGATATTTATTATCAAAGCAGATACTGATTTTAATTTATCAATCGAGTTTATTATGTATAATTATTTGTAGCAAAATAGGCCACACAGTTCATTTAGAATTTATATATTTTTACAGCAAAATTGTTTATTAATTTATTTAATGGTTTAATAAGTTAAATTTGAAAATTAGTAAAAAATATTTTAAAAATTAATGTTTAGACTTACCTGAAAATAGCAGATATGTAAATACTCGTAAGGCCGCTGTTCTTCGAACAAATTACCGGTTTCCAAATTAATGTAATTATCCAAAATTTCAGGATCATCGTTCTCGCAATCAATTATACACAAAGTTTGCCTGATAGCTCTTTCGAAAAATAATAAATTATCTATATTCACAGGATACAAAGGCTCTGATAATTCCGCTTCGTTTTTACACAGCAGTCTACATCTTTGGACCTTTTTCCTGTATTTGCCGTATTTGCTGAGCGCTTTTTCGAATAAATCCACACAATCCTCCCATCTATTCTCCAAGTAAGCTTCGACACCCTTCTCATACAATTGTACACTGGTTTCGGTAACGTTTGCATCATTTGTTCGAACATGTGCATACAGACAATTTAATAACAGGAGTGATATAATACACGTGGTCGCAGACATAGTTTAAGTAAGTAGACTGACAGTGCACGCTCATGCTTTACTCAGACATGCTTTTACTCTGTTGACTGATCATGTTAACTAAAGTTGAATGCCATGTGTGCGTGCGGGTCCAGACCCGCAAAGTGGCAGATGCAGCCTCCAAATCTCAATTCTTTTTCAGTTTTAGTATCGTCCGTTTGGTAAAAGGTTGTAGAGATTGTTGGCGGATTCCTACGCAGAACCGTACAATAAATTCATTGTCGCGGCGTCCATTCCCAAAATAATTATTGTTATTTTAATAGAATGCTAGATTATCTATCACGAATGAGTATAGGTTTATCGAAAATAGCATAGGTTTATCCATAAATTAGACTTAAAAACTGCTTTGATGGCACTTATTGATGTAAATGGCTTAGATATGGCAATTAAAAACGAAATTTATTTTTTTATTTAACAGTTCGATTTTCGGTATGATTTTTTTTAGTTTCCTGATCTGCTGGTTGTTTTTCTTTTTATGGTCAATTCTACGAGTTGAACAATGAAAGATTATTAAAATAATAGTGGTTAGAGTGAGAAACTTGCATATAATATCACTCTTTCTTCTTCCTTTACATGAGACTAATATAAGTTGTCTTTGCTGCACCCATAGATCATATTGCGAATTATTTGAACTTATCTGTATATGGCCTCATTGTTCTCTCATTTTTGCAGTACCATTTAAAATTTGGTGCCAATCTAGTATATGGGGTCTACCATAATATTCGCGATCTACCTAATATTTTCTTTGTTCATTATGCGGTCTACCTATACAGATTGATCATTTTTAAGTTTGTAATATGGGGTGTGCAACAGAGACAACTTCCATTTTAGACACTTAAAAGGAAAAAGAAAGGGTGATATTTGTGTCATTGCAACTTTGTCACTCTGACAACTGTTACTTTAGTAATCTTTCTTTGTTCAACTCATAGAATTGACCATATTGCAACTTTTATGCGCGAATAGTGTCGTTGTCGCACTGGTGTACATATTTAAATACCTATTTAAATATAATTCTGATAGTAATTATAATTACTAACCTGCTGTTCTATAAATAATACAATACTTACCAGAAAAAATGATGGCAGATTTTTCTGTTATATACTTTGTAATAAATACTGTAAATAAATTAGGGTAGACTGCATACTAAACCAGATGGGGTAATGTAGACCGCATACTAGCCCGGCATCTAAATTTTTTGACTATTTAATGAATTCATGTATGTACTTAATAAATGTTTTATTTTGTCTCAACAAATAAAAAATGTAAATGCGGTCCTGTGTTTGTCTTCTGCGTGACGTCACGTTCCTAAAGAGATATCCTGATGCGTAGGCAACCCGGAATACCTGGATTACTTGACAAAATATTAAATTCTAGTTATGATCTCCTATTACTTCTGCTGAATCGTGAATACCGAGAATTTGGTTTATTTGTATATATTATCTATTTTGTGTTACATAATACTCTCACTTTTTACATTCGAATTTATCCGTATAAAAACTTTCTCGTTTTAACTGGATGTAACACTTAGACACTACAACTGCGACATAAAGTGACAAGTAAATTTTCAAGTGAAAAACAGAATTGAAAATAGGTTATATTAGTTAAATTCAATATTGAATGGTTCAAGTTTGAGTAGTATGTTTAGCTGTTGATAAAAATCAACTAAACTGATCAGTTTTTATCAAAATTTAACGTGTCTTTTTGCATTGGAAGATTTTATCGTAAATTTATTGTGAAATATTTTGCAAATTTACATACGACCTTTTAAGACAACTAAATTGGGATATGTCTGAAATTATCAATGATGCCGAGTTCCCCGTTTGGAGCCTTCTACCCAAGAAAGAGACTGGCGTAGTCTCTTTCCTTTCGAAGTATCCCACCTACGATGGGAGAGGAATAGTTATAGCAATTTTAGATTCGGGAATAGATCCCGGAGCGCCCGGATTACAGGTACCTTAATAATTACAAACCTTTACGGTACTTGTTTTACTAAGTTCTTATTCTAGGAAACCTCCGATGGGAAAGTAAAGGTTATCGAACGATTCGATTGCAGTGGCTGCGGAGACGTCAACACCTCAACTAAAGTTACTCCAGTGGACGGAGTAATTACTTCTCTGACGGGAAAGAAGTTAAAAGTAACGATTTTTTCGCTTATTATTAGTATTAGATATTTGTAATAATATTTTATAGATACCATCCTCGTGGAACAACCCTGATAACGTGTATAGATTAGGAGTTAAGCACGCTTTTGATCTCTACCCCGATAGACTAAAGGATCGTGTAAAGTCTGAATACAAGAAGAAAAATTGGGAAGAAGGTCACAGGAAATGCGTAAGCGAAGCCACCAGGGACGTAATTACTTTCGAAGCCAAACAGTCCAGTAAGATGTTATACAGATAAATGCAAATTTGTACGTAATATAATCTATGGGTGCAACAAAGATAACTTTATATAAAAGAAAAAGAAAGAATGATTGCAACTTTCTCTGTCTAACCACTGTTGTTTTGTAATCTTTCTTTGTTCAGCTCATAGATCATGTTGCAAACAAATTGCACTTACCCAAATAAGTTGCCTACAAACATATTTATTGGAGTTTTATTTTAGGTAAAAATCTCAACGAAACTGACAAATTGGAAAAGGAAAATTTAGATGTTAAACTTGATATCCTAAACTGTTTTGAAAAGAAATTTAACGACATAGGGCCGGTGTACGACTGCATTTTATTCCATAATGGAGACCATTGGTGTTGCTGCATTGATACCTCCGACGATGGAGATTTAGCAAATTGTAAATTACTAGGAGAATACAGCATCACCCATGAATACGCTCCCCTAACCAGCACAGACAACTTAAACTTTAGCATAAATGTTCACGAAAATGGAGATATTTTAGAGTTGGTCGGTGTTTGCTGTAAGTATTTTCAAATTACAACATTAACAGTAAATATTTAAATCCATAAGCTTACAACAATCAAATTTCATTATCTTTTAAACGCGCCCTTGAAAAAATATTTCTATTTCATTTGAATTATCTTTTACAGCAAGCCATGGCACACATGTCGCATCGATAGCATCAGGATACTTCCCTGATTCCCCGGAACAAAATGGCGTCGCTCCTGGTGCACAAATCGTATCATTAACCATCGGAGATGGTAGATTAGGTTCCATGGAAACGGGAACGGCTCTCATGAGAGCTATGATAAAAATTATTGAACTGAAGCAGAAGATGGACGTTCACGTAATTAATATGAGTTACGGAGAGCATGCTCATTGGGTCGATTCCGGGTAGTTATTTATTAAAAACGATTTTTACAAGAATTTATTTATTCTTGAAAATTTATAGGCGAATAGGCGATTTAATTAACGAAATTGTCAACAAATACGGCGTTACTTGGGTTTCATCGGCTGGAAACCACGGGCCTGCTTTGAACACTATTAGCACCCCTTCTGATATCTTCAACGAGCCAATTATTAGTATAGGCGCATACGTTTCACCTGAAATGATGATAGCAGAATATGCGATGCGGCAGAAGTTGCCTGGTAAACTTTTCTTATTACCAATTTATTCATAATAACTAATTATGTTAAATTATAGGCACACCTTACACTTGGTCTTCCAGAGGACCTACTCTAGACGGAGGCGCAGGAGTTCACGTCTGCGCCCCAGGCGGAGCTATAACTTCGGTGCCCAATTTTACTTTGAGATATTCTCAGCTGATGAATGGTACATCGATGGCTTCGCCCCACGCTGCAGGTGTAGTGTGTGTCCTGTTATCAGGCCTCGTGCAACAAAAGGTGCCCTCTTCCCCTTACATAGTACGCAGGGCGTTAGAAAACACGGCTAAATTTATCGAGGGAGTTGAAGTGCCTGCTCAAGGAAGCGGGCTGATCCAAGTCGAAAAAGCGTACGATTACTTGATCAATTACAACAATGAGGATGACAGAGATGTTAGATTCCAAATTCATTGCGGGTCGTCTAATTCGAAAGGCATTTACCTTCGTTCGCGGTCTTACTCTAGTTCCCAGTCGTATAAAATTTCTATCGAACCTCATTTCTTGAATTCCGACGAAGTCGAGGCCAGCACAAAAATCTATTATAATCAAAAATTCGTTTTGTCTTGCGATGCCAGTTACGTTAGTTATCCTTCCCATCTGGATTTAGCTAATGTAGCTCGGACGTTTGCCATTAAAATTGATACTGATGGTTTATCGGAAGGATTGCACTGCACTTCCTTAAACGGATACGACGTTAAACTAATCGAGAAAGGTCCGTTGTTTAAAATACCAATAACCATTGTAAAACCCAAGGAAATGACGGGATCCAAATATCAAGTTAAATACAGTAAGATTAATTTTAAGCCTAACACCATTAAGAGACATTACTTCGCACTGCCCCAAAGTGCAACGTGGGCAGTTCTGAAATTATCATCAAATGAAGACACTGGGAGATTTGTGATTCATGCTTCTCAGCTGGTACCTCGCCAGTACTGCAAAGCTTTAGAAACCAACAAGACCCTAGCGGTAACATCGAAATCCGATGCTGTTTTAAGTTTCCCAGTCAAATCCGATCTGATACTGGAATTGGTTATCGCTAAATATTGGGCGAACATTGGAGAATCCACTTTAGATTATACTTTAACGTTTTGCGGTGTTAAACCCAGCCAACCGTCCATAACGATGCACGCTGCTGATGGAATTCACGCTTTAGAAGTGAAAACGCTTCAAGGAGAAGACATTGCTCCTTCTATAATTCTCAAGAATTCCGTCCAAATAATAAAGTACGTATTTTGTATCGTTTTGTTAAGTGTTTTACGAAATTTAATTGTAGGCCTGTTGAAACGAAGATATCTCCCTTAACATCAAGGGATATAATCCCACCCGGCCGTCAAGTTTACGAACTGATACTAACGTATAACTTCACGTTGTCGAAACCCGCGGAAATTTCTCCGAATTTGTCTTTATTGAGCAGTATGTTGTACGAGTCTGAGTTCGAATCGCAATTTTGGATGCTGTACGATTCCAACAAACAACTGCTCGGTTGCGGAGATGCATATCCAGAAAAAGTAAGTAATTTCTGATTTAACTTAGTTCATCTGCCATTGATATAAATTATGATTTACTGAATTATTTTAGTATACCTTGAAATTAGACAAAGGGGACTACAACATAAAAATCCAAGTGAGACACGATAAGAAAGATTACTTGGATAAAATAAACGAGGCTCCTATATTGCTCTCGCAAAAATTGAATGCGAACATTAATATGGATACGTATTTGTCGTATACTCAAGCGCTTCTCGGCGGAAAGAAAGCAGGAGTAACTAATTGCAGCAACATTCATACTCCCATTCCTCTTTATATAGCGCCGTTAGCTTCAGATAAGTAAGTAGTTTTATTGAGATTGCGTCTTTAATGTCTAATCTGTGTGTTTCTAGATATTCTCTGAAGTCCAATAATACTGCCCACTATTTGACTGGTACTGTAACATATGCCAAAGATGAATATGGGAAAAAGGCCGATGTATATCCATTCAAGTACATACTATTTGATTTCTCTCAAAAAAAATCGTCAAATGGCAGTGGTAATTCCGAAAAAACCAAACTGGACGAGTGCAAAGAAGCAATTAGAGATATCAGAACGCAATTCTTGGCAAAAATGGGTAATTTCCTATTTTATTTTACTATAATTAATCTACTACTTTTTGTGTAATTTGTAGATGCAACAACAGCAACTAGCATGTACGAGGAGCTCACAAAGGACTATCCTGAACATCTCCTTATTCATTCAGCTTACTTGCAAGTTATCGATCCGTTGGATAAACGCGTTTTGCCCAGTTTTAAAAAGCAGACCTTCTCCGTGGAGGACCTAAACAAAGTGTTGATCGTATGTAACCGGGTGCTTTCTGGAATTAATCAAGAGTCTGTCTTGGTTTTCATGGCAACCAAAATCGACTTGAGACCTGATGCTACAAAATTTAAAAGGTTAAATTTTCTATCTATATTTTATTCTTATTTAATTTTTTATGAATTTAGTTCAATGGAGCAACAAAAGAACATTTACATTGAATGTCTGGCTAGAAAAGGTATCGCTTTGTGCCGTTTAAGCTTGGCAGAGGAGAAGCAGGAAATACAAGATAATAAAGAAGACATTGCAAATACTTGGAAAGCTTTGGTTAAGTTTGTGGATCCTACTGATCTAAAAGTAAGTTTAACTCAATGGTTAATTTTTTATGTGATAATTTTAATGCTTGTTATTTTTAGACTTTGACAAGTCATGTAATGTATTTCGCGATTTGGCACGCATTTATAAACAAACATTATGGTAGACTTTTAAAATACACGTTGAAACTTCAGGAGGATAAGCCCAATGAAGACATAGAAAAGAAAATTATTGAATATTGCAAGGAGTTGCAATGGGAGCACGTTGCTAAGCATTTTCAGAGAAATTTGCCTTCAAAGTTCCCTTCTGCTTTTAAACCTTTTTAAACTGGTTTCTAGTACTTAAGGGTGTAAGTGTATCTGAAAATTACATTTTTACCAAATCATATACAATGTGTTTAGGATTTTAATACGGGTAGTCCGTGTACCTATTTTTTTAAGTATTAATTTATATTTTATTTTAAGTTGGCTCTGAATAATTTAATGAAGAAATAAATATATCTAAATCGTCTATTTCGCATTTTTTATTATCTTTACTTCCAGGAGGAAGTAATTTAAAAAGATGTATTATCAATGGTTTTATTATCAATAATAATTATGTACAAATCGGAGGCGTAACAATGAAGGAACAAAATTTGGCGAAAACAAAAAATTATCCAATTTCAACATTTTTCTAATCACACATACGGTCGCTCATTCGCTCATTAAATTTTGTCTTTCACTTTCACTTACTCAATGACATCGTTGTCATTATTATTTGATCTTCCTCTGATAATTGTTCCTTTTTTTCTAAACGTTTTCTGTAATACATGAGCATCGGCTGGCTCGATTCTTTTGTAATAATGTTCTTTCGTTTCCACGATTTCAAAACCAAATTTCTTGTAGAAATCGATGGCGCCCTCGTTGTTCACCTGCACATGCCTAAAAAAATAATAAATATATATACAATCTGACTTGAAATGACTGTGCAAATGACGTTAGAATAACAAATGCATGTTATGGTAGAATATACACACACCTACTATAGTCATAAAGGTTAGAAAATTTTATATTAAAACTTACAGGAAAATACTGTCAAAATTCCCATCCTTCTCCACGTAATCTAGCACGTGCTCCACCATCACAGTTCCGATGCCCAGTCTCCTATAGGGGTATAAACAACCCAACGTCATAATGTAAAGTCTTCTAGATTTCTCGGAAACGTCGATGCGACAACAAACAGCACCTACGACGATGTCATTGTAATAAGCTAATTTAGCTAATTCGCCAGCTTCGAGGACATCCTTATAAAACTTGTCGTTGTAGCTCACTGGGAAGACGACTCGGTTGAGGCTTTTCAACTGCTTCACGTTGTGTGGGGTTACATTTCCCAGCTCAATGGTGCCTCTGTGGAGCAGGACCAAAATTATTGCAGAATTTGTATTGGATGAAAGATTAATATTCAATTAATAGCATACTTACCTAGTCATGTTGGATGTTCAACAGAATTGTTTTTAAACAAGGAAAAAATCGGCTAATTTTTTGAAAGGTTAATGTGAAATTATAGACAAGTATGACAGTTGACAACTGAAGTGAAATTTGACATTTTTAAAAGGGCGTTCGTTTGTAATGGTTATGGTCACAGTTGAGGCGCAATTACGTTCGTTTGTATAAATCCTAAAAGTCATTTGGTCAAAGTGAATTCGAGTATATCAAATTAATTAAAATTTTACACATTCTATCATTTATTTTACTATAATACTAGTATTACTTCACACTCTCCCTATATACATTTAGATGTCCTGTTGAAATTTTGCAATAAAAAATTGATGTTAAAATAGCAAAGGTGGTAAAGGCGATGTTGGGGAATCGTTGCTTCTACGGTTCAAATCCTGCCGACGCCAAACATTTTTAACTTTTAAATAATTTTTATTATTTAAAATTTTATATTTTTGCTAAACTAGGAGTGGAAGTAGGAATTGCCTTTATTTTTTTTATATTGCTTATTTTCATTATACATATAGATAGTTCTTATCACAGTGATTCAGACAATAATGAAACAAACTGCGAATGTGTAACAATATAACTCTAAAACAATGGAACTTAACATTTCAAACTTAACAATGATAAAAATTAATCAGTACATTTTAAACACAACACTTTTTAGCTTAAAAATACAGCATTTTAATTTATTTGTAGATTCAAATCTCAAAAATAATACTAAGAAAATTTTGAAAATCGTAAAATAAGTGTGAATAAAAAATAAAGCAATTGCCAATTTTGTAAAGGTACAAATTTCGCTGGGTGTATACCGTGCGTTAAAAGTATAAAAAAGAATAAAAAAAGGTTGAAACGGTAAAATATAAATCATAAACTGAACAATCTACGAGATGGCTTCTTTTTTGAAGGAAATGCGTTTTCATTACTTTCAGAATGTTCCCTTTTATTCTCTGAAGTAGTCGAGTCACTTGAACTTAGGAATGATTTTGAACTTTCCTCGGAATCAGTCTTGCTATTTTTTTTTGGCAAATCTTTACTTTTGCTCAGCCAACCTCCTCTTTTTGGTTTATCTTTTGAAAATTCCTCATTGGATTTAGAATGATTTGAAGTAAGACTATTTCCATGACAAGAAACGTTCATATTGTTTGTAGACTGTTTATCCCCATTTTTAATTGGTGTACAAATTTTAGAATTGTTTTTGTTGGAATTATTTTTCATGTTCAGAACTATTTTTCTCTTTTTTGGCGAAACTGGCGTTTTGGGTTGAAAACATGAACTAGAATCACTGCCAGAATCATTATCATAATCAATCATCAGATTTTTTGGAATACTTATACGTAAATGTTTTTCATTTGTGACTACTTTTGGTACCACAACAGAGGTGTCGTTTTTTGAGGATTTTTCAGATTTTTTGGTTTTGTTACTCGCTTTCTGTGGTTTTACTAACTTTCCCTTGCCGCTTTTCTTCTTTGAACCAATGGCTGTAAAAAAATTAAATTTAATTCCAAAAAATATTGCTAAAGCTCTAAACAAATACTTACAATGTACAAAACAAACTTCAATATCAGCTCCAATAGACTGTAAATATTGCAGCCACAACTTTTGCTTTTCTGATAAAGTATCTCCTTCTCCTTTAACTTCTACGAATTTACACTGCAATGAAACCACAAATCAAACTATTATTAAGGAGCATTATTAATATTAACTACCTTAGAATTCTTCACATCCCAAAGGAACAAATCGGGCAATCCGCTCCCATACAATTTGATATTTTTCACCAACCTCTCGAATATTTTTGCCATCACATTTCTTTCCATACAAGCTATCAAAACTTTCAAAATATCCTTACTAGATATGATGGATTTTATTTTACAAAAGCAAGTAACGTGTCCATACGAATCCCATTTATCACTGACGAAATCCCACAATTTCGCATCCGACCAATTAGCAGCTACATTCTTTAACCTATAGTCTATTATTTCCTTCCTGTTTTTATAGAAATAAATGGTATAGAAATCCAACGGATAACATTGTAATTTTGAAACAAAAGTACCAGGTACCTCCTTTTGAGGATGGTATATTATATCCCAGAAGAAGAGAGCAAATAAAGCTAGGATAATGGAGTTCTCACAGTGAAGACCGTTGGTATAACCGACTTCTTTGCAGTAGTAATCCAAAGCGACTTCTTCAACGGTTTTGTACTCTTTGTTTCCTTTAGCATCGGTGTAAACGTAGTCTCGTTTGCGACCAGGAGCATTGCTATAAATATAAACACAACATTGAAGAATTATATTACCACATTCATTACACACTACATTTACCTTCGAATAGAAACACTGTCAACAGTAATTCTAGGAAAAGCGTCTTCTCGAAGTCGTTCTGGCATCAATTTTAAAAGAACATCCTTTTGATATTGTGTGATATTTTTATTGAACATAAATCTTGCTCGTTCTTGTAAAATTTCAACGTCTACATCACTAAATTCCTCCCTTCTCTCGAACGCTTCGACCAATAAATCCCCGGCAATTTCGCTATTACGTAGATTGTGATTTATTCGCACTAACAAGAAATACCACTTTCCCAGTTGTTGCGATTTCGGATATTTTTCTTTTAAATATTCTAGCCACTCTTTGACTTCATTGCAGTATTTCGTTGATATTTTTTCTGAAATCCCGGTTAAGCATTTTTTATACATTGATTCAGCTGTGAAACGCTTTAAATGCGGCGTATCATTATACCGATTTTCGTCTTCACTGAAATACAAGTAAATACATTAGGTTTGTATTATTAATAAATAGTATGGAACCTACATTTGTGGCAGAGATTTAAGGTTTTTGAAGATGGTATTGCCCCAAGCGAGAAAAGTCAAAGGATTTTTCTGACAGAGATCTAGGTCTTTAAAAGCGCATGCTTCTTCATATCTGCAAAGTTACACAGTGATGAAAGAAGGAAATTTTTATGAGATGAAATGTACCTGTCAAATTCCGCTGGAGAATAAAACACTGGGTAGTCTGTAACAACAAAGTCAGGAAGCTCGTTACCCCTTTGCATGAAATTTAAAAAGTCATCTAAAGTTGACAAATGCGAATTCGTAAAAGTGGCCAAAATGAATACACGTCGAAACCATTTTTTAAATTCATCTTTAACTTTAATGGCGTATAAACCTAATTTCTTTGATATTTCTATTCGCACTAAATCTGATGCACTCATCGATTTAGTTAAAGTTTGTTGGTTTTTACACGTTTTTAATATTTTTTGTATAAGGTCAGCCTTTTTTAAACTGCCAAGCTTTGTGCTCAAAGAAGTTGAAATTTTGAATTTCTGGCATATACTCGAAATGTCCTTCTTAACAAGTACATTTAGAAGGGTTTCTATTTCATCATTTTTATAATCTGAAAAAATTAATATTTGCTATGAATGTATAAGACATTTAGCAAAACTTACCTGTCTCCACAAAATTGTTCCCCTTTAAAAAATCGAATAATGCAATCAACTCTTTATCTTGTACCATTAAATTAATTCGGTCAAGATATTCTGAAAGTTTGTGCCATTTTGGTTGCCATTTGTACAATTTAAAACAAACGTATTGATATTCTTGTTTAGCGTTTCTTAAATTATTTAACAGTGTCATTTCGTTTTCTGTCAGCAGGTCTATTAAATACTTAGACTCAAAAATACTGTCTATCAAGTCTTTGATCGACTTTAGAAAGTATTTATTGATTCCGGGTTTTTCTTCTTTAGGCTGCCTAGGTGTCGAATTCAGTTGTTTAGTCGTTTGTGACAGACATTCAGTCTTTGAGGTTTGGGCTGGTTTTGGTGGAGTGACAATTTGGTTTGATATGATATTTATTTTTGACTTTTTGGCGTCGTTAATTGGTAAAACTGGAAGATTAAATTATTAGCAAGGTATATATGCTTTATGTTGTGTTATCTACCTTCTTCGTCATCATCAGGATAATCGAAAGGAAGCGGCCGTTTCACGATTATGTTAGGACTAGAACATAATTGCTTGGAAGTATGTACTTTATTAGCCCACATACTGAAAGATGTCTTAATATCAAGTTGTTGCTTGTTAGGTGTACTTGCCTCTTGGACACACTTTCGTTTTATGTTTCTCATACTTTGTATTTATTGTCCCATCAAATATTTGTTTACGAGTATATATATCTGTATAATATTGTGGCAGGAATACTTGCATAAAAACGGGTACTCCACAAAAGTGCTTAAATGTCACCACCACTTCAGTATTAACATATTTTTTCTTTTCTTATAAATTTATTTTTATAGGTTAGAATTCGTGGCAAATTCGCGGCAAATTCCAAGGTTCTTACAAAACGGACTTTATTCTCTTCTACTTTCTTTTATCTTTCTACTTTCTTTATATGAAGTTTATCGTATTTACAATATAGTTTTCTGAGGTGCCATTAAAAATAATAAAGTAGTTTTAGCACTAAAAATATGATACAGACCAAATGGAACAAATAAATAAACTTGCTAAACTAAAAAAATATACTTTTTTTTTATATTATATGACACTATCACTGTCACTTTTATCTGTTCTACTCTTTTGACGTTTGAGGCCTCTATCTTAGTTATTCACTGCATTGATGCTGTTTGACAGTTGAAGAGAATTATTTCTTCTTTTTATTTATAAACATATACATAACCTACGATAAATATGTTTGATTTGATTTAAATTAATTTAGTTTTTGGAAGACAACCGGTTATTTGTCTTCACAAGTGAAACTAGACTACAGAACTGAAACATATATTTTTATATTATATCAAATTATGACTCAAATAATGGATGAAGACGGTGAGTTTTGTTATTATCCACTCATTCATTATTCATTACTTTCCGGTCTGTTTTTGTAGAATATTTAACTAAATTGAATAAAATAGAACAAACTATGCGGGAATTGCAAAACCAGAAATCGCAGATCGTCAACAAGCTCAAAATGTTGGAGATAGAAAAGGAGGACCTCCAGTACAATTATAAATTGTTAAAAATACGGTCTAACAAAAACGGAAAGGAATGGGTGAATAAGAAATTCGAATGGTCCGATAAAATTTACGAAGTATTAAAAGGAAAGTTTAAATTCGATGATTTTCGACAAAAACAACTGGCCGCTATAAATAGTACACTCTCGAATAAAGATGTGCTGTTATTAATGCCCACGAGCGGGGGAAAAAGCTTAGTTTATCAATTAACTGCCTACATTAGCAAAGGTCTGACAATAGTTGTTTCTCCCTTAATTTCGCTGATTGAAGACCAACTTAGGGCTCTTAAAAAAATTGGAATAGATGCTGCTTCTGTGAACGCAAACACTTCGAAAGAGGAAAGGAAATACATTCACAACGAAATGACAAATCCCAACTCTAAATTAAAATTGTTATACGTCACTCCCGAATGGGTAGCAAAGAGCAAACAATTCATGACGTACTTACAAAAGTGTTTCGATAAAAATTTGTTAGCCCGGATTGTTATAGGTTTGTTTGCTACCATTGAGTTTCCTTTGAATCTTATAGTTTCATTTCAGACGAGGTGCATTGCTGTTCTACATGGGGACATGATTTTCGACCTGATTACAATCACTTGAGTTTATTTAAAAATATGTTTGCTGGTGTTCCAATTATAGGATTAACAGCTACTGCTACAATGAATATTCTGATTGATATTCAAAAAATGCTTGGTCTGGAGGATGCTGTAATAATTACTGCCCCGTTTAATAGGCCTAATCTTTTTTATAAGGTAGTTAATTGGACATTGTTGAATTCGAAGTGATTGGTTTTTTATTAGGTGGTAAATAAGCCGAGTGAAAAAAGTGAATGTACGAAATTGCTAACAAAATGGCTATCGAATAAATATAAAGGCAAGTCTGGTATCATCTACACATCAACTGTTAAAGAAACTGAAGATATTAGTGCGGAACTCAGAAAAAATGGAATTAAAAGTAAATTTTATCATGCGCAAATGGATGCGAATGATAGAAAAACAGTTCAAGAGCGTTGGATGGACAATCATTACCAAGTAATAGTAGCAACAATTGCATTCGGCATGGGCATAGGTATGTATTATTAAAAATTCGAATTTGAATTTTAACCACTATAAAACTATTTTAGACAAACCTGATGTACGGTTTGTCATTCATTACTGCACTCCAAAAAGTTTGGAATCATTTTACCAGGAAAGCGGAAGAGCTGGTAGAGACGGGCAACCTGCAGATTGCATTCTTATGTTCAGTTTAAATGACTACTTAAGAACTTCTTCAATGACTTCAAACAAAATTGAAGAAGCTAACACCAAGCATATTTTGCAATATTGCCTTGAACAAACCAAGTATGTTATTAGCGATATGTACTTGCTCTTTTTACTAGTATTGATTTGCAGGTGTAGGAGGGCATTGATAGCAGATCATTTTGAGGATACTTGGAGGCAAACAGATTGTGCGAAAATGTGCGATCATTGTTCCCAGGACTCGAAACCAGTATCTAATTATAATATAACAGAGCCTGCATTAGATCTGATTAAAATAATCGAATTTGCTAATAGTAAAGAAATTAAAGTTACCCTGAATAAATTGATCAATGCTTGGTTCCAATCAGGAAATAAGGAAATTAGACCTCCTAATATTACTAAGCCAAAATGCACCAAGCAAATGGGCGAATATATTATTGGATATCTCATTTATAAAGAATATTTCGTTGTAGAAAAGGGATTTACTCTTTACACTACTGTTGGTTACATACAGAGAGGTAATAAAAAAATTAATAACACTACTAAAATATTGATGCCCTCTAAGGAAATAATAAATTATCCAATTTCGACAACTACCGAAATACAAGAAGTTATTATCATCACAGAAGAGACTGAAAGCGATAAACCTCCGACCAAAAAACAGAAACTTGATTGTAGTTAATTTTAAATAAAAATTTTATTAAACGAATAGATATTTACAGCATAAATACATATAAATAATTTATTACACAAAGCGTTCATATAAAATATATATAAAATTATAACGAAAAAATGTAAGAAATATACCGTAATTAATTTAAGTACAAAGTAGTTTCAAGGATTTTGGCAAGATTAAGTATTATGTTAGAAAATAACTTATCTAAAGATGTAAATGTTAACTTTGCCTTCAGGTATTTTCTTCATCGCATTCCATGCTTCGATTCTAGTAAGACTAGTGAAATTGATGTCGTTTATTTGTATTATTTCATCTCCAACTTTTAATTCTCCGGATTTTTCAGCAGCTCCCCCTATAATAAAAAAAAAACAAAATTAGACGATTCGTTTCTTTGTAATTCATTCAAAATAAAATACTTGTAAATATTTACTAATGAATATTTACGAGAGATATTTTTGAAACTTTTTCATTCTTCAAAGTAAATTTTTTATTCTTTAAATGTTGTAGAGCAATGTATTTTGTTCAAATTGAAAAAAAATATAAGTTCCTCTATTGGTTTCGAGATAATTGCGATATTCTATCGAATTACCTAGTTCAACAAAAATCGTAAAAAACTCATCTTTAAAAGTAAGCTGTTTTTGAAATATGTTTACTCTTCAAAAAATTCTATCGAAATCCACAACAAATCGTAAAAAAAAATTCGAAATATCTCGAAAAGTAAATTTATTACCTGTAAATATTTTTTTAATAAGTAATGGCACATCTCCTTTCGGCGAATCTCTTCCACCTTCAATACTGAATCCAAGACCTGCTCCGTCCTTAGTAATTGATATAGTATTATTTGATTTCTTAGTCTCTATTTCTTTTGGCAATAACGCTGCAATAATTTACAATTTTTAGAGTTAAATTTTCTCCTTTTAGTGACTTGTACTTACACTTACTACTTATTCCATAATTCGATGGATTCTTTTTAGTAACGCTTGTATTGGCTGGAGAAGTCGTAACATCATTTCCTTCTTCTATTGTTATAGAAAATTCATTAACACGTTCCTAAAATGTTGCAGTATTTTAGTTAAATGCTTTAGAAGAGATGTGTTTCCGAGAAAGATAAACTTTCCAGAATAAACATATGTACACACAATACATACTTTTAGTAAACTTGAAGCTTCTTCGTGAGTCAAACCTTTGGTAGGCACACCGTTCACAGAAATAATTTTATCGCCTTTTTTCAAACGTCCATCGTTATATGCTATGCTAGCATACCTTATGCGGTGAATCTGTAACGCAAGCAGCATATAAACTTTTGAACAAACCAATCGAAGCTTCAAATACTCACGCTAACATCTTTGTCTTCATCAACTCCTCCAGCAATATTTATTCCTAAACTAGTACTATCCGAATCCATTTTCAAGGCAACAGTTCTCGTTTTGACGTCGGATTTTCTCTTTTGAGGTATCGGCTTTTGGACGGCTTTACTCTCGACGTCCGCATAATGACTCGTTCCATTACTAACGCTCGAAATAGTGGTTTCCATTTTGCTAGCTCTACTTGCCACTGCAGGTTTTGAAACAGGAACTTTTTGTGGCACAGGAAGCACCGAAGTGAGATTCTCGAAGCTTTGTTTTAGCGCTTTAACGTTTATGGTGGCCGGTGTTCTCGATGATCTGGTGGTGAAGATGTCCATCGATTTGGGGGTTGTTATTGCAGGAGCTCTGCTCTTGAGCACTATTTTCGAGGGCAGCCCGGTATTTCCTACAAATAAAAGGTACTATTCAAAAAGTTTCATTTGTTTTGTTGTGCATTTAAAAATATTAATTGTTTATTATTAGTGGAAGAGTTCAGTATCCTTTTAAGAGTAAATTTCCCGAATCGATTACAAGTGTATTATAGTTGGGTAATAAAAATTACAATAATAAACAATCGACGATGAAATCGTTATGAAAAATAATTCAAAATGAATACAAACTATATCCTGCAAAATTGAAGCAAATAAAATAAAGACGTTTACTAAATACCCTCTGAATGTTGAGCCTACAGAACAAAATTTAATTTGCAATTATCTCTACACGAAAAATAAAGCTTAAAAATCCACAATCTACGAGAGCCCTTTGTAAAATAGTGTATTTTTAATGTATTATACTAAAAAAATATACAAGTTAAAAAAAATGTAGAGTGTATTGTTCCTCTGGATTGATTTTATTTAAAACAATGCAGAAAGAGGAAGACATTGAAGAGAATGAATTGTTTACCAACGCGGAACTAATAAACCGTGACATTATTATCGCTCCTGAATCATGAATGAACTAACTTGGAATACTAAAAATTTCTCTCAGAATAGACGAGCAATGTGGTAAATACGAAGTCTGCGTTTTCTAAATATAAATAACAGTAATTCTGGAGGTACCAGACGTCCTGTTAGAACCGGATGTGCTTGTTTTTCACCTTTAATTCGTGAGATAAATATAATTTAATGAGAATAAGTTCACGCAAATTAGCTGAACAAATCTTGACCCAAAATATTTATTATCTCTGTGAAAAACAATATACAATCGAATTTTTGAATATGTAAATTATTCCACAAATTGTTAGGTACCTATTTATCATGATTATCACTGAACAAATACTTTTTGCAACTTACCAGCGTCTATATTTCAAATGAAAATTGGTTCTACTACTATTACAATATTTAATTTAAGATACATTCGTCACTACTAGGCATTTGCTAAATGCTTATCAGACTTCCAACTCGATTACGAGTAGAAAAATAAATGTATAGTAGCCATTCAATTTCATTAATTTTTAATTGAATATTTTGAAGTAAATGCTTCATCTACCATCTATAAAACCACATAGAATTTCTACTAGTGTAACAAAAGTTTTTTTAATTGAACGCTTTTTTTAATTTACCAATAGTAATTACGCGTGCAAGTCTACTTGTAAATTTATATGGTAATATTAAAAAAAACAAGAATTAAAATGAAAAACATTTTCGTAATTTTCCAGTGGATTACCATTTCAATTAAGTTATTTCAGTGTAAAAAGTGTTGAAATTAACAAAACATTTAGGCTTATGACTTACCATTAGTTGGCACGTTCTTCAGCGGTTTAAATAAAATATCCTTTCTTATTTTTGTTTCCTTAATCGGTGGAATTTCGTTGGGTTTTTCATCACTGCTTCCAACTGGTACGGCACGTTGAGAGGAAAATGACGATTTACACGGGGTTTCTTCAATAATGGTAGGTTTTTTATCGACCTCTTTGCTGTTATCAACTTTATCAACTACTTGAGTTTCTGCTAATTGCGCTTCCTCCTGCTTCCTTCGTATTACCGGCGAACCTATTTTCAAGTCTTTGCCGCTGCTGCATTTCGCAGAAGCTAATATGTTCTTCCTGTTAATCGCTTCGACACTGGACGGTTTCAGTAACCGGTTTTTTGAGCCCTTTCCTTCATCTTCCAGTTTCCTGGAATAGTGATTTATTTCGCAAGATCTGGTTGGTGATGCCGGCGGAGAATACCTCGAGTTGTAACTAGACTGGCTGGAACTGACCGCCGAATCGTTATCACTTTCGTCCTCCGTTTTACCACTCGCAGATTTCTGGAAAATATCGACTCCATTTTTGCTCTTAGCATAATCAAAACTGCAATCAGATCTGGTTGGAGATGAAATGCTTTCTAAAGATTTAGGCGGATTTAACTCATCGTCGCTGATTTTGCTTCCTTTTATAGTCGTGTTAGTCTTATCACAATATTTTATGTATTCCGCGTTGGTAGAGTCAGTGCTGTTAATATTAGTCGAATATACTTGCAGGCTCTTTCTTCTAAATGCTGGTGAATATTTTGGAACATTAGTTGATGAATTTGAAGACCAAGAAGGAATTTCTACAGACTTGGTTATGGGCAAGTGTTCTTCTATTGCAGGAATATTATCTGCTTTAGGCGCTGGATAATAGATTGTTGCAGCCGTTGGTTGGCTTTTGATTTCCGGTATGCTCACGTTAGGCGACGAATCGCTTTCCACCGATTCCGGTATTACTAAACCCTTGAGTTTCGAAAGGCCCTTTCGTCTTTGCTCGAACAACTGGTTCCATTTCGAGTTTTTCTGTTTATTTAAAGCGGAAACATCTATTAGACTTTGCGATCTCACATGTAGGAGATTTGATTCAGGAACGTATTCTGCACATTTCAAATCTTCTATAGACTCGTACATTGTCGATCTCAAATCACCGTTCGAGGCACTTACAGTTTGACTAAGCAAATCATTTTGTTTGAGAATATCTTGCAAAGGTTGTTTCGCAAAATCATCTTTGAACGACGGGTAAATCTGGTTCGTCGAATCGCCACGCGCTTCTATGAAATCAGGAAACTCATGACCATCGGGTGGCTGTCTGGAGTCACTTGGTAGAGTTTCCATAATTCCATTAGTTCCTGGAATAAAAAGAAACACTAATAAAAAAGTAAATACTATTGTCTCCTTACTGTCTCTAGCAGTAAAGGTTTATGACAAACGACGAGTCACCGATTAATGATATTTATTGCGATCTACGTGCACGATAAGATATCATTTTGACATGGTAGATAAAGCTACTTTTTGTGTATTACCTACCTATGTTATTTTTAGCGGGTTCGTATATTTCGTGGTACTTGCAATAACGCTGAATAATAAGTCAATATTGGCAATTGTAAATATCGCCATTAGTACAGAAATAGAAATATGAATATTACCTAGCGAAAGATACAAATATTAGTATGAACATTTTTAATTTATTATTTAAGTAAGAGCGATAGTACTTAATCCGCTCCATCAACTTTATCATGATTGATTATATGTATATACCTATATCCATGTAGTCCAAAAATCATAAAAATGCATCTACTGATTATGATTGAGTATTTGCTTAAAGGATTTACCCGCAAAAAGTGGAGAAGCGTTTCTAATTCATCAATTATTCCTTTTGTGTTGAAAAATATAATAATTAAGTATTTAACGTGCTGATAATAATTAAAGTTGCACATACTAATTAGTAGCTCCTCGTATATTATAGGTGCTTAACGTATCAAGATGATTTCATAAATTTAAACAACGGTATAGTAAAGTTAAATATTTGCTTAAAATATGCCAATATTCGATGATTGTGTCATTGTTAATTTTGTGCATTACCTACGTATAAATTTAATGGATAATATTTGATTCATAAACGACGCGCATTGAAAAAAAGTAATTTTAATAACATATACCTAATAGAGAAAAACTGTTTTAATAGACTTTTCAACTCAATCGATTATAGTTTTTTTCAGTAATTTACAGTTTTAGCCGTTCGAAATGAAACTATAAGTTGGCAATAAAATTCTTTGTTCCGGAACAAAGTTTGAAATTGAGAATTAGAAATAAAAAAGCACGCTTACCACAACGTATTGGTATGTAATCCAGAAGTGTTCACCGTAAACCATACCTATTTTATTAATACAATTTGATATTTTCAGTATCATTCGACCGATAATCAATGACTAAATTAATACACCGCGAAAATCATGCTGGAAATCACCGACAATAACGGATACAACAGTCCATTCTTCTTATTACCATAACAGGAACGCAAGTCGAAGTTTCTGTCCCCACCACTATTTTCCGCAAGGGAAAATTTTTTTCATTAAAAAAATCACTTATTTACACAGTATTTTGGCAATTGTCGAAGTATTTCTGTTTGGGTTTGCACAAGTAAAAGAGACTAACTGAATTAGAGATGGAGGTGGGGAAATGGCAAGCACAGAGCACAAGCATCAGGTCAGTGGACGTTGAGTCAAGGGCATCAGGCTTGCTGCGGTACGGATTGTCGATCACATTGTAACTGCATTTTAGCTTGTTCAATGGCAGTAGCCAACCTTTGGCTATCGAACATTTATATTTGACATTATACTTGCAAAGGAAACAGTTTTTTTTTATCGAGCATAATTAATCTAGTTCGAGATTATTTTATTCCATTTTTTACCATCAACTACTAACTTTAGAATAAGTAATAATGTTTTTTCACACTCGTAACTAGAGTGAGGAGTTGTATCGATTGGTAGGTCAGTGATGTATGATTGCTTATTTCAGTTTCAGATATTAATGCGAATTTATCGATGCAAAATATAGCGTGTGAAAAGCTAAATAGGTCTCTAGAGGATCCATTACAATCCCCCCATCAATTAGGGCAATCGAAAATCAAAAGGATTACAGTTAGGGTTTCAGTTTCAGAACCAACTGAGTGAAGAATTAACAAAATTGGTGTATCGAAATCTGTATTGGGTATTTATATTTACCAGCAATAATGTTAAATATTCTTTTTTCGATGCTTAATATATTTTATAGTTAAAATACATACTTTATTGAATACCACACCCAGACTGGATGCAGGATTACTTCATAAAAATGATTTCAAGTAGTCAGTTTAAATATCACTATGTTTAGTTGTATAAGCATAATTCGATGAACTTTTGAATGTAATTAGATAGACCTAGATTGAATAAATGGTCACTGGAATTTCATGTAAGTCACGAATTTTAACAAAACCGTTTTAATCGTGTGTAAACAATTGTATTAATCGACTGAGATTAAACAACATAATATACAGGGTCTACACTGGACGTATAATTTAATGTCTTTTTATTAATTACGAGTACTTTGAGCAAAAGCCATATAAGAGAGGGTCCGTGTGCCTCCCTTTGGGAGCTAGCTAATAATTAATATTTAATTAATCATTCAATAATTATTAGGTATTATGTAGGGTTAAAATCTCACAATCCTTGAAGTTAAAGTTGAATTTAGATTTATTTTTGTACATGATACTTTTATGAATGACACCAATATGATGCTATACTTGTTGCGTATGTATTAATTGTTTACTCAAATCGGAGGAATATTTTATATGTTATTATATGTAATAAGAAACTTATTAGTTTATGAGTTAAAACATTCGCAGTGAAACTCATAATATCCTATAAAATTTTCAAGGATATACAAGTTTGTTATATGATGCAAAAATTGTTCAAATCAAGAAATATTCCACAGTTTTTACCCCTGTACATCCAACCTTGGAATAACTGGAAATGAGGGAGTGTCGGTTTATTTATTAATGATAATTTGCACTTCATGAATACTGAATACAGGGTGACATTGAAACAACGATCGTAAAATATAAATTGATTTAGTTAAACTCGATTTGCATCAAGTCCCGTAGAAAAGAATTACGTCATAACATACTTATTTGTGCAAAGTTTACGCCCACATACATCGATATTTTATTCTAAAAAAATGTAGTATAAACTAATTGTACCCATAGACAATCGAGCAAATTTTATTGTAAGGATACACCTATATGTAATGGAATGTTGATCAGTCTAAAAATTAATGATGACTCTATACTTTGATAACAAAAAAAAAATCATTGATTTACTGACACATCGTAGGTAAATATATAGAAATAAATACACGATTGAGCGTAAATATTTTTAGTCAAATTTTGGAGATTTCATAAATGCTATTAGAGGAAATACATGTACGTTTTATTTGCACAATACCTATATCTACTAAATGAACGGTAAACTGATAATGTTATAGGGAAGGTATAAGATATGGTAAAGATAGGAAAATAGGCAACAATTATATTATGCGGCAGGTCAAAAACCCATTGTTGGTTTTTTACAGTGAAATATATAAAACTAATTATTTTTGTGCTATGAGAATGTCTTACAAAAATAATAGGAAAAGGCGGTAATTAGATACAACGTTGGATTTGCTTCAAACTAGTTACTTACTGACTGGAAAAACTACTATTATGAATTAGAAATACGTAATTATTATCATTTATGCAATTCTGTGATTTAACGCTGCGTGGACCACGTGATATATGGGTTAGGAAAGTTAGAAAAATGTGTTAAAAAGATATCAATAATAATAGTAGTGAGCTGTCACCAATGTATGAAAAATGGTCCAGATGCATGTCGAAACATTTCATTACATAATTATTTTTAATAACTACTTTTTATCCCTAACATCATCAACAACCGGTTGCATTGCTTACATAATTTGAAAATTTCAGAAAGCGAATTACATTTTAGTAATTAGATAACATCCTGTTATTTCGCAAACTTATCAGAAACGTAAATATTGCAAATTAAAAACAATAATATTCACAAAAATTATCCTATTTAGTAGTAAAGTGTGTATATTAAATGCCACGTACCTTCATTTTCTTGTTTTAGATGTCCTTCTTCTTCGGATTTATCTTCTATTTTGTCTATATTTTCAACTATTACGACTGGTGCGAGCTTTGAGATTGTTCTAAAATATAGACTCATTAGTTTAAAATACATAACGGAAATGAGAAAAAATTAACATACCGATTACTGTTAAAATCTGAGCTGGTTTCTTCCTCAACTTCACCAATAGTTGCTAACTGAGATGATAAACTCCATTTGGAACTGTACAAATCAACGCCATTAGTAAAATTATCGATATTTTCACCGTCTTTATCGTAATAATCAAATTCTCCTTTATAGATTTCGTTATTTTCGATTTCTTCGGTATTCTCGTTTTCCGGCAATCCATTCAGAGATTTAGGCACAAAATCGACGAGTCTCGGTAAATTTTCAATGGTGTTTTTAGTGTCTTCAATTTTCGTCAAGTTTAAATGAGTATCTCTCGATCTCGGCGGTACTTGCGGCTTCTTCAAAACTGGCTTTGTTTCTTCTAGCACAATCGGATCCTCCTTAATGTTATCAATTTCATCAGGGATTATATTTTTAGTACTTTCATTTCCGTAACTCAAAGGCGCGTCTTGGAAACACAACGGATTTATATCATCCAATATGATATTATTGTTTTCCTCTCTCGATAGAGATATCGGCTTCCCCAATCCTTTAGTTATTATGAAGTTGTCTTCATCATCGTAAATATTTATATTAGATAGGTCCAACTCTCTTTGTATTGCTGTTGGAGTCGATGGTAAACTCCCGGAAAAACTGGATGTAGTCGTTGTTGGAAAAGAACCGAAGCGATCAATAACTGTTGAAATGGTGCTGCCCGTTTCGTCGGATTCGCTTAAGCTTTGAGTTGATTCTTGCAGAAAGAGATCGACGTAAACTTCGGCGTCAGGAGGGCCGAGACTTCCATCGGAAAATCGCCGGTTCCTCCTCGAGGCGTCCGGAGAATCGTACGATCGGATGCTTCCTCTGGGTGATTGCAGTTTCTTTTGCTTATTGGTGTCTATATTTTCTCCAGTTTCCTTCGGGATGATGTTGTTGTTGTTGACGTTTTTAAGTAGTTTCCTGGATATTTTTCGGGGAGGCACAGGCGGTGGAGGAGGCGGTACTCTCTTCTCTTCAGCACTGATTACTAAAGGAGGATTAATCGATTTGATTTTGGTTTCGTTCTCGTTGATGTGGATGTGGATGTGTCGCACTAGAAGTTTTATGGCAACATTGGATTCCTTTAAACACCTCACGCAATCGATTCTAGTCATCGTGTTTACTGGAACCATATCGATTTCGAGAACCTCATCTCCTTCTGTTAATTTGCCCCACGAACTGGTTACCCTCGAGGCCGGACTGTTGGCTGCGCAAGATTGGATGAAAAGCCGCTTTACGAATTCATTCGCTTTAGTGCCTCCTTCGAATTTCAATCCGAATCCTAACCTTTCTCCAGGTAGCCTGTACACAATGACTTCTTCAACGACATCTTTCGCGTTCTTTTTGCTCGCCTCTTCGCCTATTGTCAACACCGTTATGTAATCTGTATCGGCGGATTTGAAGTTCGCATTTTCGTTGACTTCTTTCACCCTTGCGCCTACCGAAACTACCGTCACGAAATTTTCTGCCGCCGTTTGCGACATGTTATTGTTATGTTTAATGACCGCCTGTGTCGTAGATCTGAAAAAAAAATCGATGGAACTGTTATTATGTTTATACGTTTAATAGAATACAAGAAAGTATAATTAGAAATTAATTTTTTCGGATATACGCCTCTTCGACGTATTTGGTAAGAAATGCAAGTCGCATTAATACTTTCATTCAAATTTTTGTACTTTCTCTCGAATTCCTCGAGTATTGAAAATATGCAAATCGTTATGGAAAATATTGGCTGAATAAATTGATAATTCTGTAGCAATGCATTTGAAAAATTCTAGCCCATACCTCGTATAATGCACCTGCAATTGAAATAACGTGGCCTCCTTTTTGCGCCATTCTATTCTACAATGTAAAATGTAAGTACAGTGCTATTGCATAGTTCGCAGAACCTTTTTTTTATCAATAAAATATTTTACCATCGTAATTCTTATCCTCAATTAACTGTCATTGTAATTAATAATAGGTATTTCAACGTAGTATTTATGTTGTAGAAAGCGCAAAAAAACTGTGTGTCGGCATTTCAAAAAATTTCTTTACAAAAATCAATCACTTTAAAAAAATAATTAAGCAAACTAACTCAACAATATGCTAAAACATGAAATTGTTCTAATAATTGTTAGGAATCAAAATTTTCGAAATGTAGTACATCGAATTCCTGAATAAGAGGCCACGGTATTTAACGGTATTTCTACTAAACGATTTACAAGAGAAACCACATGCACATTAAAAACTACACTGGAAATTGTTCTAATTTAAATTAATTACCAAAAATTAGTTGTCATACCTTCAAAATTCCCGGGCACATTTTTCAGAGCATTCGTTAATTTCAAACATGGGGCACTCTAACAGTGATAGTAAACAACTGTTTTCACCTCTGAGAGACCCACTTGAAGTATATGACCTCGTATACTCTCGCGTGTCCTCGCGCAGAGTGGCATTCATGTCTTATTATTTTATGGTACGGGCCAATATTTGCTAAAAAACTATGCAGATAGCAGAAAAAATCACGAAAAATGTTGGATCAATTTAGGTGCGGTGATTCACAGTTATAATTACCAACAATTTTGTTTTCTTCCCTTACGAAATCACTAAAATCCTATACTTTCGAATGCGAAACATCAGTTTATCTCTTCATAATTTACATACCGCAAATTTCTAATGGATTTTCAATTGAAATGGGTTCAATAATACTAGGAATATCCTCGTGCAAAATGTGGTATTTAATATGTTGTCGAAACATTGGAACAACGCGGATTTTTATAAAAAAATTAAAAATATGTACTATGTGTTCGCGATTGATTGTAATGATCGGAATTTGGTTCCTTTATCAACGGAAAAATGATTATTTATTGGTTAATCCTGTTCGAATTTATGAAATGTATAGGTAGATTTTATGAGGGTTATCAATTTAGTTGTATCTGCAATTAAGCAATTGAGGAAGGACGTTTTAATTATACTACTTAACGCACAACTAAGTAGCATTTTATCTATTCTGTTGAGATATTTCTTCATACTGAATTGCTTCTTAAACAATTATTTTGATATTAACTTCACCCTGTAGTAGACTCAACTTTCATGAAGCATTTCTAATGTACTATAACGATACTGTTTAGATTATAATTTCAAATTTCGGATTAAAATTGGTTTTCTCTTTTATCATAAACATGCTGACCGATAGGTAAGTATACGTACTAACCGTATAACCATAACCAGTTTAATCTTCCTGTGTGTGACCGAAACTTGCCCATTCAGTCAAAAACCAGTTTTTAAATGAGCATTTCTTTCGTGGTCCATTGAAGGAGGAACAACAGAATCCGGGATAATTGTTTCATCTCGACGAATCCTACGTGATGTTGCAATACAGAATAACAAAATCAAGTGTTTTAGGACAGGCACATTTTCCTGTCGATCTTTCTCGTATTATACGGTATACGAATGAAAAATTACAGCTATGCAGATGACCAGATGACACACTTGATATATGAACACAAGACGAGCAAAAAACCCACTGTTAAAGAATTACAAAAAAAGTTTAATGGGAATTTTAAATGACATGAATTTAATAAACTAGATCAACTCTATTATCGAAGAATATTGGTGAAATAATAATACAAAATGAAATTGTTTAGAATTGAATGGAATTTAGTTTATTATGAACTCACCTACATTGGTAGGCAACATGGAATACACAACGCATTTAATTCGACGCGTTTTATACAAGGTGGTTCTCGGTTAAGATTTTTCTTGTTCAAAATAGTCTAAGCATTAAAGTGCTAAAATATTTGTTGTGGAACTTCTGACACCTTTTAAATGGTATTATAAATAAAACAGGTTAAGTACTTCAAAATTTATTTTATTAAGAATTTTTACACAAGCCTAAATCCTAATATTATCGCTTTGCCACTCTGAAGGTAATTCGCAGAATGAAATTCGCGTTGTGTCTTCACCTAAAAAAACGCTAAGAATTTGTTTTCCTGCAAAATACAAAGAATGTCAATATAAGAAAGGTCGTTAATTGTTTCACACTGTCACTCTGAAGTTCTTCTTGGATGGAAACGGGTGGAAAATGGATTAGGATAAAAGTTTTTGTATAAATAAATGGAGAAAATAATAGAAATTAATACAGACCTATTTTACTCAACGTATAAGTAAGTGAAGTATATAATAATAATAATTGATCTCATATAGGACATTCATCATAACTTATTTCTACCACCTGCTCTAAAAAATGCAACTTGAAACAAAAAGAAACGAACATTTATTTTTATTTAGAAAATTTTACTTCTCTTAATGTATTTTGGCAATCTTGTACATCTCAAAATTTTCCGCTAAGAGTAGGAAAAAGTAATACAAAACAGCAATAAAATTTCAAGCAACAGACTATGCGCATTATTATCATATTACCTTACGTTTTTTTAAATAATAAATCACAAATGTAGGAACTAAAAAATGATTTCACTCAAAATTTTAAGGGATACTCCTAATCTACGAAGGGAAAACAACGTGAAATATTACGTAGCACACCCTGTATAATATAAACAAATTTTATGTTTATATAATATTATTACCTGTAGGTACTTACAATAACAAACTTAATCTATATTTTGATATGTTATTTAGAAGTTATTATTATAACGTATTCTTTCGAAATTTTTTCTCTAATCCAACCCTTGCATTTTGGCTTGATGATTAGTAAAAGAATCACACGCTAAAATTGTCTTATTTTATTAAACAAAACTACCCACATTTTTTTTAATTTTCCCACTACTTATTAAAATCAATACTTTCTTACAATTTTTAATTTTATTTTAGCATTTGATTCTTAAGCGGTTACAGATTCGACAAATGAATACAAACGACCCATAATTTTTTTTTGTGTTGGAATTGGTGGTGAAAATTGGAAGACTATTATTTGTTAGCCAATAAAAAGCTAATTTATTCAGATAAAAAAGTATTTAAATATTTAGCAAAATTCGTTCGTATTCATCAATCACTTCCGTTTCTACTACTTTAAATTCATCGAAAGCGTTTTAATATAAGTTACACAATTTAGTATTTAAAACGCCATTCAACTCACATAACAATTAATTATCCATAACAAAAAATTATATATTTAATATATAGCCAAATTAAAAGTCATAAATATTTTCATTATAGGAAGAATTTATATCTGCATCAACCACACTAATGCTAATCAGTTTCAGTCTTTGTATAAATAGTTAACTACCAAAAATGTACATAAATGCCTCCATTTATAAGCGTCTTTTTTCTGTTTCGAAAACACACGTTGTACAACAACTCCTTGTTGTTATGTTCACCGGACGTGCACCATCAAAATGGTGAACACCAATGAAGTCGCTAAACAACCTGAAACAAGGTTTTTTAATCCAGAAAAATGGATATAAAATAATAAATATATGCGGATAAAATGTTTATTCAATATGCAGTTTCAAGAAAATTTTACTGTAGGTAAGGTCCAATTTTATATCCGTATAAAAAATGGTCATCCGGAGACAAATATCGAAATATATTGCATCTATTCGTTGGACTGTTCTTTATTCAATATTTCTGATACATATTTGATTAGAAAAATTTATATTCATGGCTTACTTTTGAGGCAGTTTCCGGCGTTCTCTTGAGTATTATCGTACATATGTCCTTTGGTATCGGAGTCTGAGGTCGATTTTTGCTCAAATTTGTCGATTTCGTTTAAGTTAGACTGGTATTTGGAACCTAAAACGAAAACGTGAAATTGAAATTGATTCCGTTCTTTATGCACCAAAAAATCCGATTATCATGCAAATGCAAACACTCAATTTGGTCAACGGATTAACATCATTGGGTGTCAGGTAATACAAACTAACATTCATAGACAATTCGACGAGAAACATTTTTCTCCATGAAAAATAACATGATTCCAACTAAGTTACCTTTGTCTGCAACGTGATGTATGGTATGTGAAGGAGAATGTCCATAAACGGAATTATTTAAATTTCCTTTGCTCCAATTATCCTTTGTCCTCGAAGGAGTTTCCGTCGTAGAGGGTCTCGACGTTGATGTCGGAGCTGGCGAGGCTGCGATAAAGATACGTAACGAACTAAAGCAGACATTTCAAAAAAGAAATTATCTACAAGACAGATAGACCAGGAACACCGGCAGGAGTTCTACCCGGAAGAGGATTCGTTCATAGGGACCGGAGGATATTTGGAGGAAATTTTTCGAATTTACATCACTACAAACCAGATATCGCTAGTTGGACGAACGGATAACTTGCAGGAATTTCGTACGAGATGTCGCCATTACGCCCGCGCAAAATCAATTCGGAGTTTTCAAATACTTTCGTTCAAATTTAATTGAAAAAGGAAAATATGCGCCTATTATTAGCAAACTACCACCGACGAAATTTAATTATTATTGATCGAATAGGGCCGAACTCGGTACGTGCCAAATATTTACATATTCCTGTACTATAGGTTAGTGTAAACGGTTTAAAGGGGTCACTATTATAATATTTTACAAGAGAAATTGACCGTTAATGTTAAACATTGATATCTCAATCAATACTATCAATCTGTTGTAAATAAATAAACTATACATTTGAATAAACGAGTTAATTTTAATGTTACTTAGTACAGGTGATAGTTCAATAAGTTTCATCAATAACGAATATTACAAGAATGCTTGGTTGGTTAAGCAGCCAACGTTTCATAGTATACCATATTTACCCGTTGTTAAAAAATACCATATCTCGTACAGTATATTCGGTATTTAAATCTGACGAGCTCACAACAAACAAATTGGATTTCTTCCTCCAAAAAGTTGCATTTACAACTTCACGAGTGAAACTCGTGAAAATAATGAATAACATCTACTTACTGTACAACCTTATGGTTCCATCAGTTTCGCCTCGAGGATTTTTGGCGACGCACTTATACGTCCCATAATCGCTTTGCTGGATATTTTTAATGGTCAATGTCATGTGAGTTTTATACGACGGAGTTCCGGGGATGTTCTCGGTTTGATACTTCTTGGAATCGTGTATCATCTGGCCATCTTCGCGCGTCCAGTAATTCAAGGAACTCGGGTTGGATTCCGTGAAACATTCCAAGGTTACGGCGAAATTAAGAGGAGCCCCGACGAGTTGATGGGGTATCCATAACATCGGCGGGACTGGAACAAATTTCAACCACTATAAAATATTATGCTTTATGCATTGCCCACACGAAGTGTTGCGAACTTAGCGGCATTATGATGTATTCCAACAAGAATGGGCGGTTACAAAAGGGGATTTTCAACATTACAAAGCCCGAGACGCTAATGAATTACTCATTCACGACCTATTTTTGAATGCTTTCAAACGTGGGTGTTGCTACCTAATCCATTTGTGTTGAGTGAACAAGACCCTATACAAACTATTACTATCTGCGTTACGCGCTAAAAACTGTTAACAACCCAATTTCATGTCGATGAAGGTATGATATTCTAAATCCTTGGGTTGTAATAAATGCATCTGAAATTTGACGAAATTAACGGTCCCACGATCACTTTTTAATGCAAGTCGGGACTTCACTAACCGGGTCATTCAGCCCATGG